TGATCTTTGATATATTAAAAAAGAAATTCCAATATAGCTGCTTAGCAGCCGTTATTGGTCATATATTAGCAAGCAATAAGTATGAGTGGCACTCAAAGTAGCTTTTCACGCCATCTTCCATGTTCCACCTACTTTACTGGTGATTGCTTTCCTGTCAGAGGATAATCTATAGAATCGGATTGGGATAAGTAGCTTGTGTTTATTTTCTCCAATGACATTTTAATGATTTTCCCCAGCTCAAAAGTCCTAGAATCCAAGTGGAGCTTGACCAAGCTTGACAGCACTCCTCTGGTTTTGATACAGGGGAGAGATGGGGAGGAAAAGGGGAGATGGATGGAGAAAAAAGGAGAGGTGGTGAAAGGGGGGACTATTCTTTCCTTTTCAGATGCTAATGAAAGGAGGAATAGTTTTCCAGCTTTTAGCTTGCAGAGTGTGTCTCCCTTGCAGCATGCTCCGCTGCCTGGACATTGTGGGAGGACAAAACTCCAGGCCCGGGATCCAATAACGTGAAATTTCAGCAGAGAAGCGGCCATTGTGTACAGAGAGGCAGCCGGGGAGGGGCTGGGTAGAAGGGGGAGACGGAGTGGAGGAAAGGGAGGGTGACTTGGCCAGCAACCAGGGCTCAGGCTACATCCTTTCTCTTTTCCCTCTCCTCCTGCTGCTGCTCCCCCTCCCTCTCCTCCTCCCTCTCCGCCCTCCTCTCCACCACTCCCCTTTGGGGTGGAAAGCCCAAGGCTGAGACAGGAGCAAAGCATGATTGCATACTGGAACCCAGTGAGCCATGGCCCAGAGCAGCAGACAAACGGCCACTTTGTCCACTTAGGAAATGGTTGTCCCAGGATCCCCCTTCTCCACCACACACTGGAGCAACCAGCCCCGAGGCCTACAAGTGCCTGCTCTGCACATGCTCCTCTCTTCTCCTCCTTTCAGAAATATGTAATTGGCAGTTCATTATCTCTGTGTACTGCAAGTTTACAGATTTGTTCAGGTATATCTGAAGTGAAGGAAATATGGTAGCCAGTTTCTATCTTTTTAAGCTAATGCACAATTCTGATACATATTTACAGATTCAGTCATCATCTGAACAATCACACTCCTTTTAAGGATTTGTGCTCACTTTGACAAATTACAAAGAGACCAGTCACACAAAGATACAGATTGATTAAATATTTCTAACGTGCAACTCTCTTCCCTGTAATCTTGCTACAATTTGGAAGATGAATTGTTGACATTGTGATTTTGAGCCTACAAGTCTGAGCGCATTATATTTACAATAGAAGCCTATAACTGGTTTTCACACGTTTTGGATTAGAAATAAATCATTCAAAATTGTCACCTTTCTTCCATCCTCAGCCACTTCCCCCACAGTCCTCCACTGCACTCCTACCCCTCCCTCTGTCTTTCTCTCCTACTTTGCTCGGAAATGAAGTCAGTCATCCAGCAGAATAACTTGGAATAATTCGGAATTGGGGGCTCCTTTCTTTCCTCCCACCCCCCAGCCTCTTGCATGCCAAGGCCAGCTGATCAGCTTCCGCTGGCAATTGTGTGTCCACTCGACTGTGTGCTCCCAGCAAGAGGCGTGAAAACCAGCTTTTCCCTCCACCAACCCACTCTTAACTTTGCACGTGCAATTTTGTGCGTATGTGTGTGTCCGTTTGCACAAAAATACATTTTTTTTTGGCCGTTGTAGATCTTAAGAAAGTAGCCACTCCTATTTGAGGCAGATATGGAACTCGTCAAACCCATCTGCTCTTTGTTGGGCTTCAGTGCCTTCTTGACTTTTAACAGATAGTTAATAGATAGTTATAAGTAACATATCTATGTATTTGTCACTTAACTTCCTCTTCGGGCCTTTGCCCCCCTCCCTGTGAGTGACATTATTGCTGGCATGTGTGTGAGGGTAGGCCTGAAGGGTCAGGCCCTGGTCATTGTGCCCTGGTCATGGCTGAGCGACACCACCGCCTGCCTTCTGTTCACCCCAGAGACCCCTGCCTGACTGACAGCCCCTTCTGCACCCATCATCCTTTATTGGGGTCCAGGAAGGGGTGTAAAAGCAGCAGCAGTTCCCTCTTTCATGCTTGCTATACTTCTCAAAAGCACCTTTTTCTGCTTTGGCTGAAGTTCTTGTGGTGTGTTTTTTTTTTTTTGTTTTTTTTTTTAGTGACACCATAGTCATAAGGTGTCACCAGGGAGGATGTTAATGCTTTTTTGCAAAGAGGAAGTTGGTTTTGTATGTATAGATTTGTCATTCTCCCATGCCCTGTAAGTAATCTGGTGTTTGGACATTTTAGAGTGTAATATTAAGCTGTTGAGAGTGTTAAAAGCTGAATGATTGTTTGCTGAATGATAACATCCTTGGAATTCTAATGTTGAAAATCACAACTTTTGATCAGCTAAGCTTTTTGACAGCTGAGTTTGCTTCAGGTTCAAATGTAAGCATGGGACGGTATGTTGTTCTTAGCTGCCTTATTGGTTTGATTACATGACTGACTACATTGCTTTAATTTGAAGTGGTATTAGCACAGATAAGTCAGCAGGAAGATGGACTTGGGATTTCAGCTGCTCATTACTCTCATTATGCACACCAGCCAGTTTCTAACTGTCTGCTCGTTTTGTGCATGGCAGAAAAAAGGGCCAGTAATGTTCAGTAAAGTCTAAATTTGGGTTGGTTTCAGTTAACTACAAAGCTCAGAGCATGGTCTGATTGTACAAAATATTAACGATGCACATGCCACAGACGTGAACCATGGTAAACTTCCTGTTTTTCTAAGTTCTTTTTTTGTGTGTGTGTGTGTGTGCGCGCAACTGTGTTGGTCTGTTTCTTAGTTAGTCATTGCTGTCAAGCTTAACAGTCATCTTAGATAACTTCTGTCATCTTTACAGGCTGCCAGGAGCTTTCTTATGAAGAAAATGGCTTTAGAATTAATACCCACTGACTCTTAGATTAATTACTAACCAAGAATCTGTATACTGAGGCTTGCCAAGCGTGTGGAAGGTAGGAGACCAAGGGTCAGTCTTATTGACTAAGACGAGGCAATAAGAGCAGCAACTTAATTATTTTATGCATGGTGTGTTCCTTATATCCCCTTCCCGTATTCCCCGCGTCAGATTTGCCCACAGCTTTAGAAGACTTTCTTGACAAACATGGGGCACACTTTGATGTTATCTTTATCGGTTAACCTGACCGGGGAACAGTGAGTCACAGAAAGACATCCGGCTGTCACATTGTTGAGCTCTTTTCTGGAAGATCTCTGATCTTTCCCCGTCTTTAATACGTGACCAGCAGCCTGTGCAAAGCGCTGCCCTAAGCACACCTTAACCTTTGCCGTTCCCGGTGGCCTGATGTAGTGTTGCCTAATCAGGGAAACGTCTGACTCCAGGTGAGGGAGCAGGGAGAAAGACCACTTGGTTTCTAATTTCGTCTCCCTCATCAGTAGTTGGGTTTTGGTGTTTGATAAATAGTTAAAATTCTGTATCCTTTCATAATTAACATCAATAAGCTGGCACGCTTATTTGATAGCTGTGATTCTCCCAGAAGCACTTTCAGTAACATATTTAGCTATATATAGTTTTGACAGCCAAAAAGAAGAAAAGACCTGGACACATATAGATCAGCCTGATGTCTCCAGACTTTGTGTACATGAACTGGAGTCCAATACATGTTATGTTCACAGTGACACAAACACATCCACACATGCTTGTTCTCATCTCAAGATCTTTACCATGAGTTATTTACATTTTGTTTTGGCAGTTTGGTTACGTGCACCAGATAAGTTACAGAGTACAGAGAGCCGCATAACTGTCAATCTTTAGAAGGGTAAAGTGCACAAATGTGCTCTGCTTTGGATTCGAACTTCCCAGTTCAATACCTCGTGAACTAAATGCTAATAAACACAAACAGCCCAGCCATTTAGTTGGAGCACAGCTCTTGTAACAGTAAACATGAACTATTCGTTCCACTGTAAAGTGAGTGAAAAAACTTTAGAGATTCTTCTGCCTCTGTAATTGTGAGTTATTTGAAACCAAATGAATAACTGCGCAGATGCTACCTTTAAGTAACCTGAATAGTGATTTGATGATGATTCTACAGTTGTAAAATGAATATTTTGTTGGAGCAGAGCCACAGCCTGAACATTTCCAAATCTTTCTGCTTTCAAGTTTCAGCTTTGTCTGAGGAAGATGTCTTGCATGCATTTTAAAAGTTTGGTTTTGTTTCCTGGATAAAATTTCACCTTTCCATTTTATTTCATGCTCAATGAACGATGTCTACAACACTGTTGTTTTTAAAAAATGTTGTTTGTTTAAAAAAATGTGGTACATACAAAAAAAACCCATCAGACATCAAACAGCTTTGTTTCGTGCCTCATATACATTCTACATTTTTACTGATTGTGTTATTCTTCAGTGAGATTATATTATCTAGAATAATTGGCTGTCTTAGAGTGTTTACCCTGTAATTCAAAGGACAGAGGGCATTGGGAGCCCGAGCCCCTGTCATGTGCTATCTGCTTTAAAAACACCTGCTTTAGGGTGAAGGTTGGAAATCAGCAGTGGCCGGAGCCTGAACTTGACCACATGGCCACTCACCCTCTGGGTGGGGTTAAACATACACTGACAACTTAAGAGAGCAAATGGCCCATTATGTGAAATGATATATACGAGGGATATACTGTACTCACAGAGGAATGTGTATCGATCTTAAATTCATGTTAAATAAAGCTCTGTTTGATATGAATTGGACAATGCAACAACAGCAAATTTAACGCAAAGTCGCTTCTTCACTCGCATTTTAATTTCAGTTTTGCTACCGCGTTTCCATCTGAGGAGCTGTCTAAAATGAACTTTTCCTCTCTTTGTTTTCCACCGTATCAGTTCATCTGGATTTTCTTTGGTCTATAAGTGCATTACTAAAGCTTGTTCATTAGGAAGGAGCTAAATGCTGTGAAACTGTTACTATGGTAGTAAACATCCGAATCGGTTTTTGGGTTTCAAGCTTCGAAATGCCAAAAAATGGTACTCGGGACAGCTGTACAGTTCACTTTGTGGTTGGGCTGTGCTATGTGGGCTGCTATTTCATGTAGGCTGAGGCTTTGTAGTTGTGATAAGCCTTTTGTAGTGCAGGTGGAATAATCCCAAAAATAATTGAAATATCGCGGTTGCTTGCTATTCTGTTATATAACAGTATTGTTTTTTTCTCCCCCCCTCCATTTGTCTTCCTTCCGTCCTTTTCTTCAGTGACAGTTATGCACGTGTGAGAGCAGTGGTCATGACTCGGGATGACTCCAGCGGTGGGTGGCTTCCCTTGGGGGGTGGAGGCCTTAGCTGCGTCACCGTCTATAAGGTCAGCCGGGCGGAGGACAGCAGCAGCACCCACAGTGGAGGAAGTGGCAGCAACCTCAGCCCTTGTAGCTCCAGTCCCAGTCCCAGCCCCAGTCCTGGTCCCAGTCCTACCAGCGTGGAATTCCACATCAAGGGCGAAAGGCTGAAAGACAAACTGGTAAGAAAACCTCCATCCTCTGTCTGTGAATAGATGTGTTGCGTTGCATCAATTCATATAGATTACATACATGTAATCATCCAGTTGAGTCATTCCTTTTAATGCACATTCATCTGTACTAAGGAGAAACGGTCGGTTCTCTTGAATGAGATCACTATGACCCTCGCTTTCCCAAACTCCCCTCCTCTCTCCGTCTTACTCACACTCACAGGAAGTGGTTTTTTTTGGATTTCCTCCATGGTGCAGGTGTCTGAAAATAGGAGCAAAACTGCGTGATGCTGTGATGCTGGATGACATCATCAGGGAGAAGGGCAAATTACTCAAATAAGGACTGAGAAATGAAGGAGGGAACATGGCCTTAAGATTCTCACTCCTGCAGGTTTTGTTAAATGCACCAGGATTTGTACCTTTTTTTTTTTAATGTGCCGCTGCTTATTCTGATATGTGTAATGTACAATATGTAAAATAACTAATAACTACAAAATGGTACAGTGTGTGTGATTAAAACTATAGAACTTTTTTTTTTGGAGTGATTTTTAGTATTTTAGTGAATTTATCAGGAAAGTCAAATTCCCACCAAAATGTTCTAGAGCTCAAGTCGTACACAATGTTACTACATGAGAAAATTTAATGTATCAAAGTTTACATTTCAAATGGAACCAGCTAATTTAAAGACTCAGTTTTGAACACAGTGATTTGTGCCTGCTATTTATCTGTATTTGGGTCCCACTGCTTGTGGATTTACCATCAATAGCCATAATTCAGTGGCTTTTTGCAACTCTTTTGCTGACTTTGAGTTTTTGTATCTTCTCTTGAAGTACATATTGATATATAGACACAGTTGTCCCTGAATTTGCTGTTAATCACCAGTTGAACTTTGCTCACTTATTTTATTCAAAAAGGTAACGTAAGAGGGAAACCTAACCGGCATGTTTAGTGTGTATCTTCTTGCAACAATGTGAACCCGAAAACATTTTTTAATTGTTATTTTCTATGTAATTCTTAAAACAGTTTCTGTACAACTCACAAACTTTCAAAGATTTGTTAGGATAATCTTTCATCTGTGGGCATGAGTGTGTAAATCTGTTTGTGTGCAGACGGAACAGCCACCGCAGCGAATAAAATGCGGTGATTCCCAGCGATCTGTCTTCAGAGGCTCGTTACACTGGCGTCAAAATCACCTTTTTTTTTTTTATCTTCCTTGACTGAAGTCATTTTATGTGTGTTTTGTCTTTGCGGCATGTTTGTGTTTTGTGCGTTGCTATCCAAGCATGCGTGTGGCACAGGAAAGGGTGTAACGGGAATGCTGTTGTTCAGACATGGCACAGACAGGGTTCAGAGACACCGACAACCGTTCTGGGATGTGGTGAAACACCCCTATCGCCACCAGAGCCCCCAGCCACCACAACAAACACCCAGCCATATGTAGGTCTGTTGAGATGCCACCCAGTGGCAGGGTGCTGGCGTCGACCGCTATGCTACCGACAGTCTGAGGTTATCGGAGGAAAAGGCAGGAGGCGGCAGCTTCAAACAAAGCCAGAATACAATGTTAGAGACGGCAGTGCCAATGCAGGATACCACAGTATTCATGTGTTTTCAACCAGAACATCAGTATTTTGATTTCAGAAGTACATGAAAGACAGTAATGATGTTGTATGGATGATGCTGAGAACTGAAAGTAGGCTAAAGGGAGAACTTCTTGAATGTTTGAGAGGCGGTTTGATGTAGTTTGTTATGTCTATAACACAGGAAAGGAACATGGTCTACTAAGTGTTGGGTATAGACTTTTTTTGGTTTTTCTAAAGGGAATCATTGTGATGTAATGGTCTAGTCAGAATTTGCCCCCCCACCCCGATCAGACATTTGGACATGTATTTCTTCAGGAGAAACAGTCTCAGTTTTGTCAGGTCGAAGTTGATAAGACATGATTTCTGAAAAGAGTAGAGTGTAATCAAAGAACAGGAAATGGAGGTGGAGCCAGATAGATGGGAGACGGAATAAAGGAGGTGGAGAGGTTCTGTCTATAAGCGCAGTGATGCGGCACACAGTGTGCTGGTGATGACTCAGCTGGCTCTCCATATAGCTACCAATCACTCCTCGCTCCCTCCCTCCTCTCTGTCTTTCTTTTTCTCTCAGATTTTCTGACTCTCTTAAGACTACAGATCTAATTGGTTGGTGATTACTTACCATACTGGCTCTTGGATTATGACAAATCACTGGCTAAGCTCTGTGCCACTCCACCTCACTTTCTGTTGCTAGCAGCCTTCAATTCTCTGTGATTGATAAAGCTTTGAATGCGGTCTGGCCCAGGCTTACTCTAAATAGCTTTTCCTTGCAGCTCAGGTCTTGATACGGTTCATCTCCACAGTCAGCTTTGTTATGAGATCATTTTTTACTTAAATCATCATGTAAAATGTGCGTTAGCTTTCAGTCTTTGCAAAGAGGGCAAAATATATGCACATCTGATCGAGTGCCTCCAAATAAATCTTGATTGCTCTTCTTTATTCTTTATGTTCTTTATATGTTTCTCTCATGTTTTTACGGTAAAACAATTGTACTGTAAGCTACTCAAAATGTTGACATACCCTTTTATTCCTTTTGTCACTGCAAATTTCTTGAAATGACTGTCAAATCTGAGAGCCCAGGCAGTGCATATACATAGTACAGTACACGGTAGCCTTTTTTTCTCACCACCTGGTTTCTTGTTTGCAATTAAATAGTCTCCATCTGTCTTTCCCCATTTTTTTTAATTCTCTCACAATGTTTTCACTACTCTGCATGTCTCACCTCCATCTGTCTTTGTCCATCTCCTCCTTTAACACATCTTGCCCGTGTTCCCTTTCCCTCTCTTTTAATGGAAAGGTGGCTCCTCCTCTGCTCTTTTCTTTGAGCACATTGTGGAATGTGGTGTTAAGTATCATCCTGCCATGCAACTGTGATACTTCCTCCTCTGTCAGGCCTTGCTGCACGCTCACCTTACCTGCTCCGGCTCCATTCAGTCTCGCCTCCACAGTCTCACCCCCAGAGGCACTGTGAACCCCCCTCCCTCCCTCCGTCCCTCCCTCCCTCCTTTCTTGCCACTTCATCTCCTCACATCCATTCCACTCATCCTCCCTCCTCTCATCCCATAGTTCCGATGGGGGAAGAAAGCATAACCTTTGCTCCTCCTTTTCTTCTTGAAGGCGGGTATGCAACAGCGACATGGATGCCGTTAGTTTTGACGCACTTGCACCGGGGTGACAAAGTAGCTCGCAAAGAGAGAATGACTTATAGCTCCGTGTGCTTCACCTCCGACAGACACGTATATTTATCATCTTTGCTTCCCTTACATAACGGCCTCTTACTAAAGTATGCACGTTGACTGTTGTTCTGAATCTTGACAGGATGCTGCCATCTGCTTTCGCGTGTCCAGTATTATCCTCCTGCTAGGCCTTTGCGCCACAAAGATGGACAGTGTTGCACTCCGGTCACCCATGTTTTCCTCACACCGGTTCCTGTGCTTTTGCGTTCTCTTGTGTAGATTACCACGGGCACACGCACACATTCACATGCCATTCAGCCAGCACGTGTGCACGTCAGTAAAATCCTCAGACTATAATGGCCATCTCTCATTTCATTTAATCTGCCTAGAGGAAGGCCGGGAGGCAGCCCAGTACCCCTGATTAATAATAGGCTTTGGAAACACTGCCTGTGTCTGCCCTGCTCTGGGGCTTCCCGGCTTCCAAACATCTCCCTGCACCCCCACCCCCCTGTTACCGCCCCTCCTCAACCTTAACATCATCTGTAACAAGAACCCTGCCATTTACAATGTGTTTTACAAATGATCCAAAAAAGCTTTTGGAATTTTTTTTTTTAGAGTAACTTTTTTTCCCCCATTTTAGAAATCCTGATGCAAAAATCTTTTTCTTTTCTATTTTGTTGTGCGTTCCCAGATGAGCATCTACCAACCTACTAGTCTTGTTCAGTGTCCAACTGTGTGTGTTCTCAGGTGGTTCTGGAGTGTGTTCTGCAGAGAGACCTGGTCTACAACAAGGTCAACCCCATCTTCCACCACTGGAGGATCAATGATAAGAAGTTTGGCCTGACGTTCCAGAGCCCTGCAGACGCCCGCGCCTTTGACCGGGGCGTACGCCGGGCCATTGAGGACATAAACCAAGGTTTGTGTTTTGTGCATTTTCAATCTGTTTTTAGTTTTCTGGGCAAGTCAAACCACTTAAGTTAGTAAAAGTACAACAAAGGCTAACTAACCCAAAAAATGCATCAACCCAAACCAGCTAGTCATTTATTTTTCAGTATCAAAAAAATCAGCAACCCACAGCATTTTTACTTTCGACTCTATCAACATGTCATCATCATATGTAAAAGGTTTGCACCGCCTTCATGCATTTGTAATGGAGGCCATTCAGTACATGGGAAATAAGTTGGGCGGCTGCCTGGAAATGCGCTGTGAATGGTGGGCACAGCCTGTAATTTGTGCTTGTTTATTTTCGCTTTGTAATGGCTGACCCGACCCCTGTTCTAGGAGAGATGGGTTACGTTGATTAGTGTTCATGACTCCACCATCGCTGCTACCTGCTCACTGAACCCAAGCGTGACCCCTCCTGTGTTGTCTTATCAATCTCAGCTCCGCAGATGATCTTGCCACTTCCTTTAGAGACTGGCCCTGCAACGTTTCTCCCAGACAGCTGGTGTTACAGAAGACAGTGGCAAGGAGAAAGAGAAAAACGAGAAACTCTTGGAATGGCTGGCTCCATGAGATAGGACTGAACTTTAATCAGGGGAAACTTGACCAGATGAGATTTTTGCCCTTTCCAAGCTGAAAGTAAATGCGTTTTTGGACTGGCTGTGTCCTCAACAGAAAGACAGTTTGGTTTTATTTATGTTGTTTTTCTTTTTAAACTAGATATGACTTTTTTGTGGAGGTGAATTGGCAGTTTTGGGTCCTGATAAGCTATAATTTTCTTTAGCGAGCCAGAGGTTGCAAAGTCATCCAATTAGTAGGAGAGTTGCCAACTCAGCAATCTGCCACCAGACCCTATGTTACACAAGAGGCAAGCTGGCTGGCTTGGGAGCTATAATCTGTTTTACTCTCTAGGCCTGGGAACCCTGGGGAGCATAGGGGAGGTGCAGCAGAATGTATAAAGGCTTATCACGGCTGGGCATCAGTTGCTTCTTACTCACAAGCGTTTATCTGAGATTTGAACTTCCTGGGCACAAGTCCATGCCATGTCTAGATAGAAGGTTCATTTTACTGCAGGACAAGCTGTACATACTTCTTTTCCAGCAAACCGAACATTAGGCAAGAGAAGAATAGGAAATTGACCTACTATAAAGATAGCAGAGCTACAGTGAGGATAAATCATCAAATACATGTTAGATTGAAGCTAGCAGGGTGGACTTTGGGCCCTGTTTAGTTGGAGGATAAATTAGCAGCTGTTTTAGATGATTGCTTTACCATTTCCAAGTAAAATAGGGTGACATTTTAAAGTCTCTCAGACAGACCTGTGTGTCTTTCAGACCTGTATATACTAGACAAACTGGGAGACAAGGCAGAGATGTCACCTGGTGTGGGGACAGTGGGATGGCCATTGTTCCCTTCAGAGACATCAAGCGACTAATCTGTAATTGTATTGTAATTCTGAGAACTATTTTAGTTTAGTTCACAGAGCCAGAACCCATGTAGAATGGGAGGTTGAGCATCTTTGGCAGTGTGATCGTGCACACTCCTCAACTCAGAGACGACAATGCTTTGATCTCCTAATAAATACCTCAGCTCTTTCCTGTGAATGTCAGCCACAGCAGATTATAGTTGGTTTGGACACCCCGTTGCATGAATATTCTCTGCGTTTCCCCTGTTGTCCTTGCCTTCATCCGCTTGGCATCCTCTGTATTCTGCCAGTGTTGTGTAATGGCTCCCCTCAGCACAGGCAGACAAGTTCTTCTGTATTCCTGTTGCATCGCTGTGCTGCTGGACCGCTGTGTGAATGTGAGTGTGTAAGGAGGTGGGGGCGCGGGGGGGGGGGGGCAAGAGAGAATATGTTTTTGGCCACGCGTGTGTGCGCACGTGTGCATATCAGTCTTACAGTCCTCTGTTGCCATGGCAACGCGGGCACATGGCTCAGGCAGCTTTGTGGCCCAGCGCTGCTAGAGCCGTGCTGCAGGAGGCCTCTTTCTCCTGGTGCTGGAGAAATGCATACACTCACACACACACACCTTTGTGATTCAGAGAAACAAAGACATGCTGATGGACAGACTGACTCTAAATAAGCCAAGTGCATTCTTCTGTCCTTGCTCTCACAAAGATGGCTTTAGCATTTAGTACTGTGTCCTTTTCCTGAACATAGACAAGTGGACACAGAGGATGGCTCAGTGTACAAACCCCAAGTACAAACAACACCCCCCCCCTCGAATTGAAGAAAAGATTTCTATACTTTATATGCTTGTACAACGTCATCCTCAGAGGCAGTTTTATTCCCAATCTCCAAAAGATGTCACATGCTGAGCTTGATACCTGAAACTCGAGGTTCTGTCTCTGGTAATAAGCAAAGGAAGTGTTCTGGATGTGGAAATGGCACATGGCATTTTAACCGAGGTCGGTGTTGCATTATTCTAGTCGTTCAAATCGGTTCATTTCTGTGCGGCCCACTAACACAAAGCAGCTTTCATTTCCCGTTTAGGTGACAGATCCAGAAAAGCAGAAGCCTTGACCTTTTCTGGCCTTACAAGAATATCAAACATCATTATGACGGGAGTTGCCATATATTGATTGTGAAGTGGTTTAAAAACACATTAAAAGTACTGTTTCCCTCAGTTATATAGCTATATATCTTAATGTTTTTAAGATACATTTGAGTGAAGAAATGGGTGACTGTTGAATTGAGTCTGGAACGGATTTCACAACGGTTCTAAGAGATTCCTATCAATCCCCATAACAGAGCTACACTGTCCACAAATGTATGCAGTGTAATCTGCCAAATTATGTAAACCCACTACATTAAACTGGTAAAATGATCAAACCTTCCTTTCCTCTATTTTTGTTTCTTTTAGGGTGCCGTCCGTTCGGAGAAGGAGATCTTCCAGAGGAAGGACTACCGGTGAGTGAGATCAGGGTTGAATTTCTGGGTAGATTCAGTCCATCTGTGTGTGCATACCAGGACATGTTAGCCTGGCTGACTTTGAAAAGTAAACTTTTGATGTTTTTCTCCCTCCGTCACATTTCGGCAGAAGGCAGGTCATAGCTAGACGCTGAGCAGCCAGGTGCTGCTTACACCTGCGTTTGTCTTCCAACTGTTGTTCTTGGAGACTAACTGGTGTTTAACCAACGCAGCCAGACTTTGGAGCAAAGATGGGTGTTGGCCAGTGCATGTGATCATAATTACCTCTGTGACTAGTTTTTCAGCTGTCAGGATTGATGTTGGTCTCAGGAACCAGACCAAACTCAAAATTTTTTTCGTTTTGTTTTTTGGTAAGTTTGTTTGTCATTTTCTTATGCTCTCAGCAGAGACCTCCACACGGCTTTTGTATTTTCAAAAGGCACCACTAGTTTACCTCTTTTCATGTAACACTGGGCTGTCTCCTTGACAAACACGGATGGGGGTGGTTTGGTCACACAATCTGTTGCAGTTCCTCTTTATCTTTGATACTTCTTTATTGCTCTGATATGATGTCATGTTGAAGTTTTGCACATGTATAATGCACCTTAACCGTGTTCAGCATCTGTCATGTCGCAAAATATTGACTGTCGATACGGCCTGTTCCCTTTAGCAAAGTAAGGCAGCAGGTGTATAGTTCAAGCCAAACACACCCATGTTCATTTGTTTAAGTTATCAGGCCTGTTGGCAGAAAGTCAGTCACCTGCTCTGCTCACGATTGTAAAGTAGGTGAGAAGATGTTTTAGAGGAAGGAAGGGCAGTCAGTATAGAGCACGCAGTTACACCCACGGAGTAATGCAACCAGTAATAACAGCTTTTTGTTCCACAACCTTGAAACTATTTTCTCACTCTGCGCTGGGTTTTGTTTTTTAGCTTTTGCTGATACTCATTGCGTATTCAGAGTCGCACAGCAACCTCTATGTTTTTTCCATCCGAGTTTGTGGTACTCTCCAAATGCGTGTCGTTTGCTCTGACCTGCCTGGTATCGGACACCCTTTGTCATGTGACCGATAAGAACTGCAAAGGAGGAAGGGCTGTTGTTCTTATGGCAAAGTTCCTCTTTAAGGAATCAGCCCGAACGTACAAGAAATCCAATGGCACCACTGTTGCTGCCTAGCAACTGTGGTGCCATTGGGGGTGGGGGGTTGCATCTAGAGTGGTAGAAGTGGGGGGGTGTTCACAGGGTTCAGTGAGCCTCTTAGGGGTGTCACCATGGTGATTTGGCATCCGAATGTTGCGGTCGGAGACCTGGGCCACAGAGAAAGAGAAGTGAACCAGAGCAAGGGCTGTAGCCAGAAAATACCACCGCATGAAGTTTGACATTAGCCGTTCCTGTGAAGTTCCACCTTTGAATACAGAAATATAAAAAGTGCTATGATCAGACCTGCAGATCTTTCTGGAGCGTCCGTGGCCTCGCTGAAACACAGCATTGTTTCATCCATATGTGGTCACCGTCCAGCTTCGTTTAGTTTCTGGATTAGACGCAGCCATGTCTGAGGATGAGCTGGTTTCATGATAACTTTGCATTGCTCCTATTTGACTAGTGTATCCATTATGAAGTTTATTCATGCTTCTGTGTGTGTGTGTGTGTGTGTGTGTGTGTGTTTGTGTGTGTGGGACAGGCATTAAGGATGGTCTCCTCCACCCACATCCTGCCCACTGAGGCAGAGCACATGCATGTATGTCCGTCACAGGCTTACCGCTTTCTTCCTCTCTCATAAAATGCACCGACACACACACACACACACAGGCAGTTTGCGCATGCAACATATTTTACCCATAAAGTGGTTGCACAACACCCGACTCAGCTGTGATGACCCACTGCCATCAATTATGCCGTACCACTGCGGTCGTTCCTCCAGCACAAAGTAAAGTGTGTTCTTTTTTTTCCTGAAGCCACAGGAAAACATCCGCATCTAATTTAGCACTGGCAGGAAGTTTTTTTCCTTATCAATTTTGTACACATACAGTTTGTTGGTCAGTTGACTTTTACAGCCTCCTGTCACAGAGGAAACTCTCTCTTGCCTCGGTTTGCAGAAATATGTCTTGCAGGTAGAAAGCAGAGCGGCCAAACGTCACAGTTCGACTGTTTTGGAAGTTTGTATTTGAATTATTTTGTTGGGAGTTGGGCAAAAGTATTGATAGTGACAGGAAAAAAAAAGAAAGCAAAAAACCAGCCTCTATTTTTCTTGTCTTTGCATTTAGTACTTTGTAAATGTATATTGGTCTGGTGGGGTCCAAGTGGTGTAGATGTGGTCATGAGTGGGCGGGCAGGGGTCTCTGCAACACGACAACTGTGTACCTGGAAAATGAGCTGGGGCCACACTGACGTGTCCACTCACATGATTCTTTGTGTGCATTATGACTGGGCGTGTTAGGAATGCAGTCCTTCAAGCTGATGCTATTAACCATTGATTAAGAATTTAGGTTTGCCCCAAAAGAAGAGAACAGCACGATTCATGTCGTGACCAATGACTTTTTCCCCCTCCCCTTAGTCTTTAAGTTCTGACAAACGCTACATGTAAATGCTTTGTAATTCTACTCATCCTGTTCAGTGCAGTTATGGGGAAGGGGAATGATAAACAAATAATAGCTTTATCGTCTCATTGAAGCTCTGTTTCTGTGTGTTCTTCCGTGGATTAACGAAAGGCGACCCTAAAATGTATGCATTTCTTACCAGATGCTGACAACAATCCCACTCTTAGCCCCCTGACATAGAGGGCGCCTGTTTTTAAACCAATAAATAGCTGGTGCAGCTCTCAAACCAGTTTATGTGGCTAAAAATATTTTTTTCTGTTGTGGAAATGCAAAGAAATGGTTCGGGATAAATCACAGGCTGTGAGAAAGGTTTGTAGCCTGTGGCCTGAACCCAGCCTTCCCTGTCCTGAACCCCTGTGCCTCGGAGGGCGGAAGTGCATGTATCCCTAATGTTGGTGCAGAGCCATGTTGCCCCTGGCTCCCTCCACCTCCTCTCCCTTTGTCTCCTCCTTCACCCAGCCACATCTCTAGGGTCAGATCAGCTCCAGATTGGCCCCCACGCATGCCTTTTGAATGGTGGGGCTTAGGCAAGCGCTTTAAAAGGAAGCCCAAGTCTGTTTCCCATTTCACCCCCCCCACTCACTCACTCACACACACACACACCTCCCCACCCTCACTCCTTTCCCTCTTTCTCTCTCTCTCACACACACACACACAACACACACACACACACACACACAGCTGTCATCTGGCTTTTTAAGTTCCGTGCTGCATTTCTCCAGCTGGAGCTAGTTTACGACATTCCCTCGGCAGACTCTTGGCCTCTCGTGCTCTCTGTGTTTCTTCCTTTCTCCGGATCCCATACACAGACGCTCACATGAATACAACAATCTCATTTTTTCCTGTTCTGTTCTTTCTCTTCTCTCTCCCTCCACTGTCTCTTGTTCTTCGCATTCCCCTGCAGAAGCAGTGGATGTGGTGTGTTACTCCCCTCGGTATGTTTGGAGGCAAAGAACGAGCAAAGTTGCACACACACACACACATACACACACACACACACACCATGTGTTAGCAGTCTGGGGAGAGGGGGGTTGCAAGAGGAGGAGAATTGGGGGGGAAGAGAGGGGAAAAAAAGAAGTCAAAGGAAGCATCTCTTAGCAACCACAGGACAGTAATTACTGTAGCAGCAGCTGGGAGCAAACCAGATTTCCGCTGTGCGTTAAAGCACTGGCGTGGGCTACTTTACACACGGCACTGACTAACCAGAGCCAGCAGCCTCCTCCACATGCAGAACGGAGAGAGGGAGCGAGGGTGGGAGAAGGAGAAGAGAGGAGGACTAACCCTGCATTGATGAGGTCGGGAGGCGTGTGGGAAACGAGGGCCGGCGGGCCAGCGTGTTCGCCGGTGGAATATGGTGGAGCTGTGGAGTTGTCTGAGGATAGCTCGGCGGGTTTTCATGTTCGGCTCAACAAGCAGAAGTTTCACGGTTGCGCAGAATATTAGTTTCCTCTCGAGACATTTGCCATTTCACCCCCTTACCTCTAATCACTGTTACGATCAGGAAGTCCGTTTCTTTTGGCTCTGAATGTACCTTGATTTATTTTTATCAGAAGAATTGTTTTTTTTCAAAATAAAATTAAGTCTGTCGCTACATGGGATTTCTAGACATCCCATTTAGGTTCAGCACTGAACCACTTTAGAGGCGTGAGAGTAATTGGCACGAGGTGGAGGGAATATTTCCATTCATTTGTCACTCATCACCTTTTTTAAGAGCCCTTTTTTTTATTTGTTTGTGGGAACACATGCAAGACTGATGGGAACTCTGAGTTCTGACTTAACAGAAGGGCCTTGAGTCATCACCACAGGGGTCATTTGGTGAAGCTTGGGTGCTGAATGCCCCCTGGTGGCTGAAGGGGGACACACACACCAAACACACGCTCTGAGAGCTGTTGTCATGAAAACTGAATCAGTCTGTCAGTAAGAACCTGTAGTATAATGATGTCACACATTTAGACCCGTACTGGTGTGTTCCTGTTGTTTATTTTTCAATCACTGGCCTCCAAGCCAGTGTCTGTTTGCTTACAAGAAATCCTAAATCTTAACTTCTACCCTGATGCACCTCCACAGAAAGCTGTTGTGGCAACACAGATGGCAGCTGAGATGTTGTTATCCAGACATTAGCTAAAAATGCAAAGGACAGTTGAGTTACATTGAAGTGATTCTGTATGTTTGCAGGTGTGTGAGCCGCCCCTGATCTGCACCCCGATGAAAGAGCCCTTCTCTCCTTTGAACCATGTCGTCTCCACCGAGCCGTTCAGAGGCTGCTACGTGGCGGCTCAGCCCTTCGACGACAACCGCCGCTACCTGCCTCCACAGGTGGGCCGGAGCGATTCCGATCCAATTCTAGATGGTAACAACGCGCTGAGCAGTCCCGCAGTTCTCACTCACTGTCCTCTTTCCCTTTGACAGTCGACCCGCCGCGTCAGCTTTCGCATGGACGAAGAGGAGATCGTGCGCATTAACCCGCGCCAGGACGTGTTCGTCCGGGGCTACGAGGACTACCGCCACCCGGTTATGGGCCGGCGCGACGCCGACCGCGAGGAACTGGATTTTCCCACCACCTTTCACAAACTGGACAGTAAGAAGTGCGATTACCTCTTCCCCGACGGTCCCGGAGGGGACTCCCACTCCGGCCCGGGTCTGGGCATAGGAACGGGCATGGGCCTGGGCCTGGGCCTGGGCAAGGACACGGCCATTAAGACGCAGCCCTCTCCCCAGCTGAAGTCGAAGAAGGGCCGGCGGCGGAGAGAAGACGGCGAGCGCTCGCGCTGCATCTACTGTCGAGAGATGTTCAACCACGAAGACAACTGGCGGGGGCAGTGCCAGGACGCCCCGGACCCAATCAAGCAGTGCATCTACAAAGTCAGCTGCATGCTGTGTGCCGAGAGCATGCTGTACCACTGTATGTCCGACTCGGAGGGGGACTTTTCCGACCCCTGCTCCTGCGACACGTCCGACGAGCAGTTCTGCCTGCGCTGGCTGGCCCTGGTGGCGCTCTCCTTCATCGCGCCCTGCATGTGCTGCTACCTGCCTCTGCGCGCCTGCCACCACTGCGGCGAGGCCTGCCGCTGCTGCGGGGGCAAGCACAAGGCGGCCGGGTGACCCCACGCCGGACACTGGGACACCCTCAAAGCTAGCTAACAAAGGCAGTGGATAAAAGCGGAAAATTAATAGCCGGCATCCTTTTTTCATTCCCCTCTCAGACAGGGTGATAAAGTTGTTGATCCCCAGCTCTGAGGGCTTTTGGAGATTTCAGTTTGTGTTTGTCGCCGACAAGCAGCAGTGGAGGACAAACCATGTGTTTTGTGGGGGCTCTGAGCATCAAGCTAAGTGCAGGAGCTTAATATGAAACGGCGGAGACATCGTGAACAACAGACTTGAAGATGTTACTACACACATCTGTACACATACGCACTCAACTCTCTCGTACTCACTCTCATACGTTGACAAAACCAGGCCACAAATATCAGAAGTCTACTACAAGTAATGGGTATCTTTATGAAGGAAAAAAAAAGAGTCTTTTGTACAGACGGCAACAACTCAATGACAAAGAAGAAAACAAAACTATTCCACGTTGAAGGAGAAGTACTTGCTGTTTGAGTCTGCTAAAAGGGATGTGTTCTTGCTTCTCTGTAAATTTGCAGTGGGGTCCCCGTGGCCTTTCCGTCATGGCTTCAGCATTTGCTAACAGTGTAATTATTAGGCAGAGAAAAGTGCTCTAAATTGTTTCCCCCGCCAGTAAAGGTTTCCTTTTTCAAATTCTTGTGATATATTATCAGCCGTTTTTTAGTGTAATCTTGACATTTGAGTGATGTGGTGGATTTAAGGCCAAATTGTTCTTTTTTTTTTGTTAAAAAACAAAAGCAAAACAGCTAATAGTCTCAGCTTGTTTTCGGAGGCACACTCTGCATAAAAAGTTACATCTAAATTGTGTTTTAAAATCTTTCCTGAGGCGACCATTCCGAATCAAAGGGACCCACTCCACGATCAGAAGGGAAGCGGTGATCACAAATTTGCCCTACGTACGTTTTCCAAGTCCCCTCCTCAGGAAAGTCTCCCATAAAAACCTCCGGATCCTCACGTTTAAAGCAGCACGTTACAGTTTCATTAACATCGGTGAAATGTTTTAGCCCCACCTACTTACCGCTGTAGTGATATTGAAGTATTTGTTTCTTCCCTTTTTTCTGTTTCTTTTTTCCCCTCCCTGCTCAATTTTGTTAGTTGTTTTGAATCAAAGGTTGAAATGTTGCTCAACCAGCAAGTTTTGTTTTGGTGAAGCCGGGAGTCCCAGGGCTCCTGCTTAGATGACGAGGCACTTAAATTAGGATATTCTTTGATGAAGAAACCCTCTGATTTCTGTTGTAAATTGAACAGATTTAACCCTCGTTTCAGATGGGGGGAACCCCGTCCTTAAAGCACTGCTCTCTGAGCTTTGGTTGCAGCACCCTCTCCAGGTTTCCATGTTTGTCTCCTGACTGTGTTTCACACACCCTGTAAATGTAGTGTTACATTGTTTCTCTAAAGTGCATCCACTCCTCCTTACTTGTGTCTTTATTTAACAGGCCCCCGAATGAATGGTCTGCTTGGTTCTCCGAATGCTGGGTAGAATATTAGCTACTAAAAGCATGTAACGTATGTGTATAGGTGCATGTGAGCATCTTCATGTCCACAGTTGGTTTTACGCTGTAATGTCACCGACAACATGAGTAAGGCTTTGACTCTTGTCCACAGGACTTAAAGAAAATAAGTGCCAGAGATGAGATAAAGCCGGCCTCCTTCCTCTGTGGTGCTGGCATCCATCGGTGACTTAAAAACGTCCGGCCGCAGCTTTCCTGGTTCTGTTTTAACGTTGAATGTGGGCCACTCCAGTTCCAGGTCATTCACAAGAATTGCGACCTTTTATTATAATCCGATCAACAACCTGTGCTTTAACAAGGCGGGTAGATATGTGGGAGTACTTGTTGTACACACACACAGACACACACACACACACACACACAACCGTTGAACAGAGCCAGGTTAGCTGCGTCTGCACCGACATAAGTCAGCCACGCGCTGTCATGAGAGTCATGGCCGACATTTCCCTAGAAATGTTCTCCTTTGAAATCTTTGGATCAAACAGGGTCTTGGCTCACCTTTTATTTATTTACCCCGCCCCCCACCCCCCCACCCCCCACTCAGAATAACAAGAACATTTGAGTTCGAACAAAGTCCCCCGCTGGAGCAACACCTCCCATTTGACTTCTGGCTGTATTAAGTGAATTGCTCCCTAAAACGTGGACTTGTTGTAAAGGAACGCTAACTGTAATACTCCAGAGTACATCCAAATGCAGCTACGAACACATGTGCATATTTTCTCACCTCCAGACACTCCTACTACTTTGAGGAGGAAAGCAAAACTGCACGCTGTTACTTCAGTGTCTGCAGGGGCACAGGAGGATCATCCGCTCTCCAAATTCCACGCCGACCGACGCTCCCTTTTCTTTCTATGCAAATCCGTAACGCGGGAAACGCATTGGCCTCCGCAGACTGGGTCGGTGACGGGACAGGACACTTTAATGCTAAATAGGTAGTCGACCAACCCCCCCCCCTTGGTACCAAACTAAACGCCTGTAAATACCTAACACTATATTTAAGTACTGATAATAATAATAATCCCAGCTTTTTTTGTCTTTGAAATTTTAAAGATAGAGCTGTATTTATCGTTGCTGTCAGCATATAGTGTAGCTTCTAATGACAGCATTTTGTACATAGGTCACCTTTTAGTATTATTTCACATTGAAAAGTAGAGGGCTTCGTGATGGATATGACTATTGAGCTTAAAATAGAGTCTCTCTCTCTAGTTTTGTACGGTAGAAAGAAGGATAGTTCTAACACGGTACAGTAGTGGCAGTCCACTTGTTTCTAAAGTTTGATATATAAATATATATAATTAAATAAATACATTATATATATATACACACACACATATAAAGCTGCTAGATACAATCACTAATTTTATTGTGTTGACAGAGAAAATCAGCTATGAACGACTGTTAAAACCAATTCTCCAACAGCATATAACAGCGCTCATTTGCGTATTTCGGAGTGTTTGATGGCTCTGTCCAGTGACACTTGTGCATGTGAGTGGGTGCACCGGTGTCTCTCCATACGTGTGTGTCGTCGTGCTCCCTCCCCCCCGAGTGCATGTGAGCGTGTGCACCGTGTGCGTGCGGGGTTGGTGTGTAACCAGACATTTGGTTGCTTGTCATTTCTCTCCCACTGTAATCAGATGGCCCTGCATTAGTGAACCGGGCTTTGATGAACCGGATTAAAACTTGCTGGCTGAGAAGCAAAAATAAAGGATGTGCATTTATACAAAGTGTAGAGAATCCTGAAATAACTCTTCTCATTCTGCATTAACCAGCGCAGTGCAACTTCCTGTCATGTACTGTATTATATATGCAACATGTGTCTGTCCGCTTTAATATATATATTTTTTTGACCTGCATTATATAAGACTTCAGTTTTAACCACTTTGCTGCTAGTCTTTTATCCTCTTTCGATCTTGGAAATTGTGCATATCTTTGGGAATGCATAACAGTGTACATTCTTGACATTGTGTAGATTTTAAAAAAAGAAAAAAAAGAAAGAAAGAAAGAAGCTATATAAACCTGTTTCTCTTCAGTGTATTGTTTAAAAAGGTTGCTTTTCACAGCAGTTGAGTGGTTATATTTCAATTCTCCGATGCTTTGGTGCACTGATGATACTACGTGTAAGCTTTTTTTTTTTTTTTTTTTCATCTTGCAGCGCTTGGTGTAACATTTATGTGATTAGTTCTAAATAGTGGAAGACATTTGTGTTTTAAACCTTGCAGTATAAATGGTACTACTCTTAACTATTCTGTAAACACTGCCTGTTTTCTTTCTTCTTGCACTCTCTCTCTTTCTCTCTCTTTCTCTGTGCATATTTCTTTTTCCTGTGCATCTGTTTTTCTTTGAGTTTTTCTTAGTGCCATCGGCTTTCACATCCTGACAACCTCAAAAAAGTGCCTCACGTCCATCCTAGTCTCCATCTTACAATTTAACATCTCTCGTTCTGGTTTTATTGGTTTCTACACATTTAGGTATTTCGAGAATACCAAGTATCTGATGTAAAATTTATAGTACCAATAACTCATGTCATAGTTATATTTTCCTTATACAGATGTAGCTTGTTACTTTTCATAAGATATATAATGTAAATATGCATACATATGTTTGTAACTGTTTTTATGTTACATCATACACTTGTAATTTGACATATCAAATAACATTATCATAATAAAATGGTGAGTTTTAATCTTTTGTTGTTTGCACTTCATTGTGTCACTTTGCAGTGATCAGCATCAGAAGCGTGACTCAAGCTAGTAAAAAAAAAGAAGCTCAACGGGGCTTGGATTTTGGCATGGAAATGGACAACCGTAATCTAACTACAACAATATTGAGGCATTTAAATTAGATATTACCATTACATTTATAATTACGTTACATTTTATAGTGGGAATAATGACTCATGTCTACGTCATATCCATACTGTCCATACATCCCTTAAAACATTGTATTAGAGCCTATGGCTGTGTAGTAAATCAGGAATGAGTGTCACTTCATGGCGTCCATGGTAGGACATCATATTTTGATTAGGTGTACACGTCTGTTAAATATGAAAAAGATATTATATCAAATGTGACCATATCCTAATATGGGAAACTACTACTTTATTTTACATAATGGTGTGGATAAATCAGGAAAGAAGGGGCTTGACAAGAAATTTGGAATTTAGGGCAGTTGGGGAGTAGCATCTTCATCTGAAGAGAAGAAACTATTTAGCTGTGCAACATTGTAGGCCCCGTTTATAAAAATGCAGATCTTATGTGCAAATGTGTAAGCTACAGTTATGAATGATGCTGTTTCAAGGCCACTACTTTTGGTCATTTATTTAGTACCTTGGTTTTTGTCAAACTGGGGTACTTTGCACAACTTCATGCTTCGTAAGGAACGTATACAGATTTATTTTTACTGAAAAAGTTAAGTTAAAACCTTTCAAATATAAATGGACAAGAGGCATTTGAGGACAAAAAAAACGTAGCGGAACCATCCTTATGTCAAAGTTTCACGCCGGCTCATATAAGCGGAACACCCAGAATACGATAGCGTTGTGAAAATGAATGGACGCGAACGCTATTTATGTCAACCTGGGTGTATTAGTATTGTCGTCATGTTTTAAAATATTTCAATTTGAACGTTTAAGCAACGGATTCGGCGATGGAGTGTGACATTTTGGACTCTCTGGAGCAGCTCAGGTAAGCTAACCCCCTGCTCGCACGTCGGGTAACTGTGTCGTTAGCGTTTACCGTTAGGTTTCGCATCCACGGGCACGCTGAACTATTAGCCTGCGTGTTGACCGAAGGAAAAGTGTCAGTTCTTTTTTTCTCCCTAATACCTGTATGCATTTAATAAATCCGCACTGTGCTCGGCGGGCCGGGGCGCAGCTATGACGGCTCTCTGGTGGAGGAGAAGGCGCTGCTCAGAGCCGCGGAGGGAGGCCTGTCCTGCCCGGAGTACGTGCAGCTGTGCCGGTGGCTGGCGGAGCGGCTGGGGCCGCTCTGTGGGCTGGAGGAGACCATCACCTCAGGACCAGGTGAGGGGAATGTGTCTAGAAATTTTGAGTCAAACGTTTCTCTCCAGCTTTTTACCTCACTCAGTCTCGTAGTTCCACAGTCTAAGCTTGCCAATGAGTTTCTTTCAGTTTTTCTGATATGATACTTTTGGTTAACATGAGTACTTTTGCTGGAGAAGGTTCAGTTGAACTGAGGTATAATGGCTGACTTGGAGCTTTTGTTTCCTGTTCCCCCTGCAGAGGAGCTGGAGAGCCTGCAGCTGGAGCTGAGCGGCCTGCTGAAGGAGCTGCACTGCCCGTACCAGGAGGCCGTCTCTGGGGTTCTCAGGGGCTCTGCGCCAAACACAGAAGACCACCTCAAGTTCCTCCGTATGTGGATCGGCCCCTCTCGTTCCGGCCAGCGTTCTGCCGGTGTTGGATCCAGCAGCTAAACGGCGTCCTTTTTTTGTGTTTAGTGTTTCTGAGCTCCGAGCTTCAAGCCGCCCAGATGCTGAGGAGCAGGCGGGCCTCCGAGAGGCACGCAGAGCGGAGTCCGGTTCACCAGGAGCTCTCAGCTATCTGTGAAACGCTGCAGCTGCCCGGAGGGCCGGACGCAGCCCAGCTCTTCCCTCAGGTCCAGGCCCAGGTCAGCCTGCCCACAACCACCCAGACCTCAGGCCTGCCGGTCTGGTTCTGAAAAAGCTTTTTTATATGAATGTATCTGGGAGGGGGGGGGGGGGTTACGTACAAGGTAACTAGAGTAAAAACTCTTCTCTTTGTTTTCCATCTCAAACCGGTTCAGTTAGATTCCAGAGAGTGTACATGCCTCTACAGAGACCATGTACAGCATTTCACATGTTTCACTTTGATGCTCCTACAGCTGCTGTAAGCCGCTAGTTTACTTTGCTCTTTAGAAATGTATATTAAAATATATTTTAAAATGATTGAAGAAGCTCCACATTTCCAGGTTTTCTCACAGCATATTTCCCATTATTTTACAAAGATTATTAATAATATCATTATCATTGGAACCATAGATGAAAAAAATGTTATTATTGTTTATGATTATGATGGCTTATGATGTGCAGAGTATTCAAGCAAGCCTGTTTTGCTGAAAGATTCAAATCTTTGTCATTACAGGTAAAAAACGTACTTCAGGCTCTTCCTGAAGGCTCCATTGGAAACCCAGTGCTGAATAAGCCTCTTAGCAGTGAACAGTGGGTATGTTGGGTGGCCGTCCACATTGTGCTCTGCTTAGGCAGTCCTGCTTTTAGTGACCGGGTGTGTGTCCGGGTGTGTGACCGGGTGTGTGTCTGCAGGAGGCGCTGCGAAACATCAACGGCGCTCTGGCCTCGGAGTACGAGTGCCGGCGCAGGATGCTGATCAAACGGCTGGACGTCACGGTTCAGTCATTCGGGTGGTCGGACAGGGCCAAGGTATGTTCGTTTGATTAGCACCGGTCAAAAGGTCATTTTCCTCCCCCCCAGCATGATTTCAAAAGAAGTAATGATGATGCTTTTCTTTCCCCCCCCCTTTGAGGTGAAAGTGGACAGCATGGCCAGAGCTTACCAGCCAAAGAGACACTCCCTGCGGCCGCAGTCCACGGTGGACATGGCCCAGCTGCTGGCCGCCAGAGAGGACATCTGCAACGTGGTGAAGACCAGCAGCGGGTCCAGCAGGGAGAAGACCACGTGTGCTGTCAACAAGGTAAAGGAGCAATCCCCTGATCTTCACAATGAAAGGAAAATCCTAAATGGGATTGTTTTTCTCTTAAAGCGTTCCCTTTTTTTTTTTCTTTTTTTTTTACGAATCCCTCCTCAGATCCTGATGGGGCGAGTGCCAGACCGAGGAGGGCGGCCCTCTGAGATGCAAGCCCCTCCTCCTGAGATGCCGCCTTGGCAGGAAAGAAAGGATGGAGGAGGAGGAGGTGGTGGAGGTGGAGGCTGGGGTCAAGGAGGACACGGTGGCTGGGGAGGCGGAAGCTGGAAAGGAGGACGCGATAGATATGGAGATTACGGAGGACACGGAGGAAAGAAAGGACGATACCAGTACTAGCCTCTGATTGGTTGGTCCCTGTAGGCACACAGATGTGGTTTTTACACATGGACTGCATGAATTCTGCACCAGCTCAGTTTAACGGGGTTTTATCTCGCCACAAAACCGTTTTACGATTACTTTTGTGTCGGATAGATTCTCATCAGTGTTTCTTTTCTGTAAGATAAACAGCGGGATCTTACAGCACTGGGCCACTACACAGATCTAGTGCTTTAGTTCTTTTATAACTGCGAGTCCATTCAAAGAATTCTCTTTAAATGGTGATCGCCTGTTGGTTGTTTCTTTTCTACTGTCAGCAAGTGCAGTAATTATGAAGAATTGGTGGACTCAGGAGAAGGCATTTATTTAAAAAGTGGTTTCCCCCTTTTTACCATCTGCCCCTGCAGTATGGATCAGATTTCAAATCAATTGTTTTTTAAAGTCCATTCATGTTTCGCTAGGCCCATCTTAAGACCTGGTCAGGAGCTCATGATTTCTTTCATGATGATCTAATGTAAAAAATAATCGGTGAGGACAAAAACACTAAGTGTGGTTATTACATTTGAGTTACTTACTCCATGAGTTTTACTTTTTAATTTTGTAGTAGGTAAGAAAATGATCCAGCTGTGTTGCTACTGTATCAACCTCAAATGCCTAGGAAAGTGTTTTTAATGTGTTTTATAATACAGACTGAAAAAGAGCATCTCCAGTGAGCTTCTACCCGATATTTCTCTCTACATTTTTACCTTTTATCTGATTTTAAGCAACAAAGATCTCTTCTAAACTCCTTTTTTGTGCTGATGTGGAGTGGAAGGCGGACCATCTACCACAAGGTGGCACAATAGTCTGCACCCTTAGAAAAGGAAGCCAGTCGTCTTCAAAGACAGTTGTGGCTATGCATTTTCTCCAGTTTTCCTCATTATCAAACCATGACTGTTTAATACATACACTTTATACACAGTTTGTACAGTAACCAGTATTCATCAAAGCAGGATTTTACATTGTGTACATTATGAATAACATACCTGTACATGGTAAAAACATTTTCACTTTGGAACAAAAGCCTCTTTTCAGTTGTCAGACTTTACTGTAACATAAAAACCAAAGACACAAAATGCAAACATGGTTCAGTTCAATCTCAGAATCAGTTGTTTTTTTTCTCTCCACTTAATAACATCAAGTCTGATCGACAAAAAAAAAGAAAAAAAAGGGCAAGTGAAATAAAGACTACTTCAAGTTGGCACCTTTTCTTTAAAAAAGGCTAATTCAAGTTGTACAACAGCTACTTACAGTGTCTGTAAACAGGATTTGCGTTTTAACAAACTATTTACAGCGGCAGTACAAAAGGAAAAGGGGACTCCAGTTGGACATTATGAGAGAGGGAGAAACGTGTCTCTACCCAGAGACATTTTTCTTTGTGGACTATTAAAAAAAAACCAGCCTGGCAGCCAGAACACTGAAGCTGGAGCCATGCTCTCCGTCAGACCTTTGGGCCCCGGGCCGAACACCTGCTGTGTTAACACTGGGATTTTATTTGAATTCACTAATATAACTTTTGCAACAACAACAACAAAAAAAGTAAATCCTTGTCATAAATTACACTGAACTATAATTGATTTATTTCCTTATATTTCACCAAAAAAAAAGAAAATCACTAAGCTCTATGGGCCCACATTACTCTTTAGAAAAAAGCTGAAGTAAAATTCCAGTTTTACCTAAACATCTGTCAACATTCACTCCCCACACATGCACACGCCCATCTTCCTTTAACAGGTTTGTTCCAGGTGAACAGATGTTTAGATTGATGTCTACATGCAAAAAACAGAAGACCTGAAAGCATTGAACGTAGTTAATTCATCTGATTTCCTCAGCCCAATCGCAGATGCTGAGATTTAAATGAAAATCCTGAAGGAGTTGTGTGGGATGAGGTGATATCCATCTGAATTGTGGGCGTCGTGCTGTTCAGTTTAAAAGTCAAACAAGCTTTTCCAGCCTAGAGATGTCCCTCTGTATCAGAACTATTTTAACAGCATTTCTCAGATATATTTTCATTCCTTGGACACAGTAAAATACGTTTTCTTCCAATCAGTTATTTTTTGATTCAGCTTAATGTTGGTTTTCTGTGTACAGCATAGTACATTAAAAGTGCTGGGCTTTACTAAAAAATTACATCCTTAACATTAGATAATACTGTTCAGAGGCATGTCACAGTCTTTATGCTTCATCATGAGGCATTGCGTCTTAGTTTTTATATGCATATATATAGATATATATGTCCAACATTCCACACCTTTCGTTTGATTAAACACCAGGCCAAAACACTAACTTTTCAAACCGATCCAACAAGCGGCGTTAATCCTGTACAGTTTGGCATGAGAGCTAATTCCACCCCGCAGTATTGTTTTGACCTTTGATCAGATAAGACGCGAGTTCCGGAGGTACTGGATGAGGACTTTGTAGATGAAGGTGTACTGAGACAGCATCTGCACCATCAGCATCCTCTGAGCACGCAGGGCCATCAGAACCTTTGGGACGTCCAGAGCCTGAAACAGGAAGCACTTCAGTGAAATGGAAGATCAAAAAACATTTGTGACATTTCATAGAGCAGCTTTGGCTCATTGGTCGATACCTCATTGTGCTCCAGGCAGGCTATCATGACCTCGGACAGGATGACCACGCCGGTGCGGCCCACGCCGGCGCTGCAGTGGACCAGCACGGGCTGGGTCGTGTTCTTTGGGTCGCTGATGCTGTTTGTGTGTCTCCTAACAGACTGGACCTCCTCTAGGTAGGCTAGAGACAGACGAGATTTTAATCACAAGAACATTTGCATTCCGTATTCTTGGTCCTTATTCTCAGAATATGAAGGAGTGTTTATTTAAAGCGCAGCTGCTGTCCCCACTCACTAAGGAAACCTTTGAAATCCTCCGGACAGCCGTGGTCAGGCCAGTCTGTGTACTGCAGATGCCACAACGTCCTCTCTTGGCCTGTCAGGAGGTGTTTGATCTTCAGCCCGGTGGTGGCGTAGCAGCCAGACTCTGTGCGGAACCTTGTGGTGATCTTGAAGCGGCCGTATGTCACCGTGTTGTGGCGCGAGCCGAGCCGGGGCCAGTAGCGGAAGCTTTTCTCTCGCCCGCTCTCCTGAGGGAAGACAACGGCGTGGAAAGATCAGTGAGGTGACGGCTGAGCAATCCGCAAGGCGACGGTCTAAACAGGAAAGCAACGCACCTCTTCGGCCGTAACCATGGCGATAATGGAGACACCCTGTTCCCACACCATCTGCCAGAAGTCCTGACACGTGTTGGACAGGGGGCCCTGCGTGGCAATGTAGCTCCACTCCTGACCACCAACTGTTACCTGATGACACGAGGAAAACCGAAGAAAAGAAACAAGTCAGAGCAGCAAATAACTGGCACTGAAATGTTCCCACAAACCATTCATTAACAAAGCAGCACCAGCAGAGTGCTGCTTTTTTTTTTTTTTTCTACACGTGGAAAATACCCAATAATTTAATCTTGCTACGATTGTGCGGTCTTTATGGAGAACTCACTCTGATGTGGGACGCATTGATGTAGCCTGTGTTGTTCTCCTTGGTGGGAACCAGCTCCACTCGGTTGTCGTCGTAGGGCAGGACGTCCTGGAAGCGGTTTTTGTCTGCGTTCTCTTGCAGCAGGGCGATGCTGCACTCCCCCCCTGGCCGGCGTTTAGGGATGCTCTCGTATTCTTTTAAGAACTCGCCCCTGTCCATGTGCTGCTCCAACAGCTTCCACTGACACAAAGAAACATGTGCATGTGATGAGAATTTCATGAAAAACTCTAAGCGGTGTTGCCCTCAACTAGAAATTCATTCAAAAAATGAGCTCACATTAATCTATGACCTTAAGAAATATGATTTGACAGAAAAGAACTCGGATATATCAACCAAATGACTTAAGTCAAACCTAACTTAACACATTAATATTTGATGAATCTCAACAACTTTTCTGATTAATATTTTGGGAGACATCAATTCCATCAAAAGAAATGATTTATAATGAGCGAATCAATAGTAATATAATATTCATGTTGCTTCAGTGTTACATAAATAAATCAATTCAAAATAATGTCTTTATGGCTTAATAGTGCATTGACCAGAATCATAACACAGTCAATGTAAGTGTTCCAGCATGAAGCACAAAGTACTGGAACAGAGCGCTAAAGGGCACGGCCATCTGAGTCCCAGAAGAGTTTACAGTAAACTGTGGCTCGTGATGTTGAAAGAGCAGCCAAGCAAATTATGACAACATGAATTCAGGATGAATGTTTACATTGATCTGTTCCTTTTAAAGAATCACAGAGCTTAAAACTTACAGTAGTGCTAAAAAGTGAACAGTTATTCATATTTCAGAGCACCCACGTGTATAACGTCATGCTCATTTTACATCTTTACCACTTAATTCCAAGCAAAATGATTTGACATGAAATCAGGAACAGTTCATGCAAAAAGGGTGGTGATAACTTCTGTTTGTAGCCAACTACTCTTGTTTGAGGCCTCTGTTTTCTCTATTGAATCCAATTTGATTTGCTGTAACAATGATAGAATACTTTTTATTACAGCACTCAGCATAAAGGTGAACAAGGCTGTCTGTTAATGTTTTATAAACACTATTATTGTCTCTTACATGTATCGCTCAGAGCCTAACAACATACCTAGCATGTCCCAATAACCAGCTCTTTACACAACAAACTGGAGGCCTATTGTCATGTTAGGAGGATCTAAAGTAAAATCAAAACCATACAAATAAAACTACAAAGTAACACAAAGAAATCAAGTAAAACCCTGGTGTGTCCTACCCTCTCGTCATTTGAAGCTTGCGTCGGCTCATCTTTGACCTCGTCATGGACTCGCTGCCTGGCCACCGACAGGCCATTGAGCTGGGCGACTTTCAGAGGGCCCATCTTCCTCACCTCTGACCTGGCTCCTTTCTTCATTCCCTGGTGTGACACCGGAGCAGAGAGAGAAAAGCTGCTGATTTTCGTGTACGAGTCTCACAGACAGTGAGAGAGTAGGCAAACCAGAGGGGTGGGACAACACTGCCCTGCACGGTGTTTTCTGAAACAATGCTGCCTTTCTGGTTTACCAAGGTAAGAGAACTGCATTCTTTCCATCACTGACATAGACAGTATTATTTAAAGCTCACCACTGAAACTGCTTTAATCTCTTCTCAATAAGGAATCATATGTGATCTTTGCAAGAGGAGCAGATATGAAGAAAATGGTGTGTGCACATGCACAGAGATCAGTTTCTATTGAAGCTGCCTATCTATGAGATAATACAGCGGAAACATTGCATGTGTACAGAGATTGGAGGTAAGCGCTTTTATCTGATCAGAGGCCGCAGCTGGTCAGCATGAGTGTCTGTGTAGCAACGTCCCCTTTTAAACTCTGCAATGTGAGACAAAGCTTCGTCTTGACTGTCAACAGGTCTGCTGGTCATCACGGGTTTCTCTGAGCCATGATTCATTTTCATCAGATTAATCTGTTGTGTTAAGCCGTTTCATATCAGTACTGTTAATGTGTGTCTCATCAACACTTATAGTCTCTGCTGTCCCACATTTAGCAAAATAGCTTCACTCAATTTCGGTTCAGGGGGACAGAATTGATAAAGGTTGCGTAACAAAATATTTGGGAACTGGACTCACCGGAGGGGGCAAACCCTCTACTGTTTTCTTTCCAGACGGCACGTCAGACACAGGCCTTTTCTTTAAGTCTTTCCTCAACTTTTGCTTGACTTGGTCACTCAGGTCGCCTTCGGATACGGAGGGCATAATTCTGGGATGTCTTAGATCTGACGGCAGATAGAGGGGCTCGCCTTCTTGGATCAAGGGGTGAACTTTATAGGCCAAGGAGCCGGTTACAGAGGGATCGAGGGCAGACCCAAAAGGATACGCAGGGGGAGGCTCTAAGGGAGTTTGTTGCTGAGCCGTAAGGGAGGAGAGGGCTGTCAAGTTGTGGTGCTGCAGTGGAGGCTGCTCAGGAATATGTGCGTCCACCGAGTGTGGGGTGTGTCTTCCACTCTCATCCTCAAAGTCCTCTTCATCTCCGCTACTATGAACAAGCATTGTGGCATCTGAGAGGGACTTTTTGTGTCCATACTGCACGTCCTCCTTAATGTCCTCCCTTTCCTCAGTCTTTGTGCGCTCCAAAAACACGTTTAGCTGGGAACCATGCGAGTGACCGCCATGCAGGACCGGTGTGGCCGTCTCTGCTGCCGAGGAAGAGACAGCTTGTTCTTTCATCCTCATCCCTTCTAGACTGTGTGCCAATCCGGCAATCTCAATGGAGTTCCGCTTCTGAATGTGGTATGGCTGTCTGTGTGGGGGTCCACTGAAAAGGGGCTCAGAGACCTCTTGTAGGGAGTGTGCGACGGGCAGACTGTCCTCTTGAAAAGTCTGGACTGAGTGATGCACACGCCGTGTAATGATTAGGTCTGGATTGCTGCTGCTTACGTACATGTGACGCGACAGATCGGGCGTGCTGTTAGCGGGACGGGGATGAGCGTATGGGTACGGCGGAGGTGGTCGATAGACTTGGGTCCTCATGATGTTGGGGGCTGGATACTCTTGTGCCTGTTGTAACTGGACATTTGTGAGCTCTGGAACACTGACTGCACCCACAACTGGCCTCCGTTCTGCAGGATAGGGGTATGGAGAAGGGCTGTGGAAGCTGGAGCCCGGATGAAAGGGATAGTGGTAGTGATGGGATGCACTGCCATGCTCTACCCTTATCTCTGGTTGGCTGTAAACTAGTGGGTCTGGTCGGCTGTAGACGTACGAGTTTTCAATGTTTAAGTTCCTCATCGAGTGGCTCTGACGGTGTGCTTGGGACAACATCATTCCTCCCCCCGCACCTCGACTCTTCTGCCGCATCACTGTCTCATAATCAGGAGTTGCCCGATAGGAAGGTGGGATTAGGGCGCTGTGACGGTGAGAGGGGATGTAATCCGGCCTGGTGATATCACTGGTGATGGATGGGTTAGAGGACATAGGTGAGGGCTGAAGGTAGTGCTGGGGATTGGTCAGGGAACTCGTGCTGTGGGCACTGTACACGCTGCCATTACGTAAGCGTCCTCCGCTGTATTCCAGAGGGGAGCAGTCCAGGCTGCTCTGAGAGTGGTAGTAATAACCGTTCTGATTGTTCATGTACAGGTTATCTATGTGAAAGGGAAAGATTGATAAAAAAAAACATTCAAATCAATTAATAAATCATTTATAATCTTACAAGAAGATGAGCAAAAAGAAAAAATCATGTCTCCAAAAAACATTTTTTGTAAAGATTTTATAATTCTTAACTGCACCCAGATTTCTGCTCAGTGCTTACCCTGTGAGGATGTGTAAGGCTCAGTGAAATGGCCATTGTAATGCATTTGTTGTGGCGGCCTCATGTAGGTCGGTGGCTTTGGCTGGTAATAAAAATAAAAAAAACAAGAATTATCATGACAATGATCATATGATCCAAACACTGCCTAAGAACAAAGAGTTAAATATAACTGCAGTAACTCATAGATAAGGCCTCTGACGATCATCATGTGGTGCCATACTAACATTATATTTCACATAAATTGTCTTTAGCACAGTAACAGCATTGTGCTTATGTGCCCTGAAGAATGCAGACATTACCTGGGATATTCTTGTGGAAGATCTCCGTCTCACTGAGTTGCCCGTTGTTGGCTGGGTTTGGCTGGTGAAGAAAAAGGCAAAAACAATAACAAAAATAATTATTCTAACTGTACCACAAGAAACAAGGTGTTTTGAGACAATTTCCTGTGTCTTTGGTTGTGCAAGGAAAACTGGACTAATTTGATAGACTGGAGTCTATCAAATTAGGCCAACAAGTATAATTACAGATCTGATTTTTCTTGTGGTTGACAGGGAAACCCTGTGACTTCCATATGATAGACTAAATCTAAATCTGTAGTCAATTCAAACCGTAGGTGGTGGCTGAAAATGATGCTCACCCCTTATTAGCAGGCAGAGAGGTACGAGAGAGCATTGGAAAGCGAGGAAAGGATAGAGTGAGAAGGGACTTCTGGGAGGCCTCAGAAGGCAGGCTGTCAGACTCCTCTCTGAAGAGAGAGGAGGACAGACATGAGGCTACACCAAAGGGGAGACTCATGTAGGAGACGGCGAGGAACAAAGAGACAGGAACTAGGCTAGACGTGCTACAAAACACTTACAGGCTACTCTTGTTAATCTTATAAAACTTTAGCCGGGCGAGACACATCCGGCACACATATTTAGAGGTTTCCATGTCTTCCTACACAAGAGAGGAAAAACAAAACATTAGATGGCAAAACAGGCAGTACAGATGTACTTCTATATGATGTCAGATAACAGGTATGTGATTTAATAACCCAACCACACCAAAACAACTTGAAAACACAAGAGCTTTGTTAATACAAGCCAGTGCTAAGATCTGTGAATGCAGAATGCCACTTTTTCTAAATCCAATAAAAGACAGCAATGCCCACAATTATGGAAAGAGATGAGACACTGCAGTGGCAGCAGAGACTTACAGTCTGGAACTGAACACTCTCCTCTCTGTTGGCCAGCTCCACCGCAAAGAAGGACCTATTGTGACTCACGTTGTTAATTTCATGCCACCTACAAAGCCAATTAACACCGTGTCAGAAATGAGGAAAAGAAAGAAGAAAGACAAGATAAACAAAAAAACAAGATGGCACTGCAGTCATAAAAACCTTCCACATTTTCAAACAGAATGAGCCCTGGTGTACCATCACACAATTGAATGAGCATTTGGAAAAAATAAACAGCTATCAAAGAATAACATATCGAAAGAATTTATCTCAAAATGTCTACTCACTATGTAGACCTGCACACTATTCTCTCAAAAACTCCTTAAGACATTTCTTCATGAGTCATTTTTGTTTTAGTCACATTCAGTTTCACAGAATAGTAGAGAGGTAGCCTTTCATAAGAACAAGCCTTAACACAAAACTAAATCTATCAGAAGAGATTTTTTCAGCAAGCATTCTTTTTGTAAATTAAAAAAAAGGACAAAAAAGCCCTTTTCAGGCTTACCTATACAATAGATCGGGACGTCCATTCTTATACTTGACAAAGATGCCATCGAGGCAGGACGCCAGGGTAACATCTGCACCCGTACCATCCTGATTTCACAAAACAAACAGATAGATAGGTGTTCTTCCTGTTTAGAGCATGCCGGTCACATGGTTGTTGATCGTCTGGGTTTGCATTTGAGGGCTGCAGGCCAGGCCTTGTAGACCTACCTTGGCTTGAAAGCTCTCCTGCCCATAACCTTCCATTTTCTCCACCTCCTGCATGTATAGCATTTCTGCCTCCGGTGCTGACAAACCCCTGAGGAGGGCAAAATGACAAAATCTCATAAAATGTCATTTATAGAACAGGAATACAATTGTCTAAAAATAAAAACTATGTTAAAAAATATATTAATATATGTATATATATGTGTGTGTATATAAATATTTACACATTTACTCCTGTTCAAAATCTTGTAAATGTCCGGAAGGGGTCTGTATCGATCTGTAAACAGAACAGGTAGACTGAGGCTCACCTGAAGGACTGATAGAGCAGGGCCACTTTCTGAGTGGCCTCCTCCAGCACACGCTCATCTTGAATCCAGTCCTGCAAAGACAATCATGCACATAAACACTTCCAGAACATTTCGCTTAGCGATGGCTCATCCTGAGCTGGAAAAACAAAAAGCTTACGATAGGAAACAGCGCAAACTTCTGAAGGAACTCCTGAGAATCATATCGATTGAAGTCTCCAAAGTCAGCTGTGAATGAAAAGAGATGCAACTAACAGGTAAAACAGTGATACATACTTCTTCACTCATCTCTAAGGAGAGCCCTTATTATATCCTCCTCTGAATTTAGTACAACACAAATAGCCATTGAGAAACTGTAGATCATGACGTGATGGACTAATTTTAGGAGACGTCCATTTATTGCTTCAAACTCTTGACCACACAGACGGCCTAAACTATTACAGGTTCAGGCTGCCATCTGGCTACATACACAGCTATCTTGGCTATTCTAGACATGGGCAGTGGCTAAAAGCTGCAACTGTCCTTCACAAACAGACTCTATGCAACACAAAGAGAAGCTAAATAACAGACGTTTACTAGTTTTCATATGTAATTAAGCAGTAAATACAGATTAAGAACACATGGAAGAGATTATTATCCTGGGAATATAATGAAAAGTGGTCACATATTTGAGCATAGCTGCAAGAGTAAGTGATTTCAGTGCCTGTACTGTGATAGCATCCAGGCCAGTAAGATGAAATGCCTGATATACCTTTGCCAGTGTGTTTGACGTACTTCCAGCTGGGCAAAGGTTAGACAACATGATAGGATTGAAGACCATGCAGAGCGTCTTCAGAAATATTAAATGTGGAATGTTTTCAGTACTATTTTCAGCAGATGGTCTAAAACTGTAGATCCATCCATTATCATAACCGCTTATTCCCTAATGGGATTGCGGGGGTGAATGGAGCCTATCCAGGTAGTCAATGGGCGAGAGGCGGGGTACACCCTGGACAGTCTAAAACAGTAGATAATTGTCTAAAATGATGATCAATGGGCATTTACTCTGAAATTGAATACAAATACTGCGATCAACCAATTAAAAGGTCTTAGAAATAAAAAAAGGTTACTGAGATTTTACCTTGCACTGCTAAGCTAGCTAAACGTATAGCTTGATCTAGTGAGCATGTGATCCTTCCCTCCAGAACATCCTTCTTCAACTGTAGGTAATACTGATATCTATGGAGAAAGAAGAAGTTTTTAAATAAACAAAGCTTCCATCATAAAGTTGTTTCATCAGTAAAATACTATTTAGATTAAAAAATGTACATGGAATTGTGTGAATTCAAACTAATTAAGTCCACATCTATTGTCATTGCATTAACAACTAAAAGAAACAGACGGGCAGAGTGAAGGGACCAAACTTTTGTAATCTTTTGTTAGTTTGAACAATAATTAAAACAGCTGATGTGGCTCACCAAAACCTTGCCTGTTTTTTAGAACAGAAATTTGTCCACAAGACATTTGGAAGGGGTAACAGCTCTGTTAACACTAATGGCTTTTCCACAACACTTCATGTCACCTTGTGATCTCCTGTTGCAGCTGGGTGACACTGGGTATGTAAAACACGACTCCAAAGTAAACGGTGGGCTCCAGCCCATACTTATCCAGCTGCTTTTTCAGCGCCTTCTCCAGGTCTATCCATCTCTGCTGGTTCTGTTTATTAAAGTACCACAGACTGAAGTACGTAATCTATAAAACAGACAAGCAAATCTGTCAGACATAAACAGGATTAACAACTATACACATCAAAAGAATGCTCATAAAGATTCATTTACATCAGCATTCCATTAGAACACGAGAGGTAGCTTTATACAGTCAATTATTTTCTTTTCAACCACCCTTTTGTGCCATTGGATTTGTACTTTATATTTATGTCCAGCGGATATCTGTTTCAAACTAACTTTTCTAGAACTGGATCGCACAGGGTGAAACTGGGTAACCACCATAAACATTTTTTTATCTTTCTGTCTCTACATATCCTCCATTTAATACTTTTAAAGAGGCACAAGTGAACATCTTTTCAGGAATGAGACAACTGGATAATTACTGTAAACCTCGACCTCTCCCATTCTAAAAAAGAGATGCGTGTCAGAGCCTGACACTAGTGACCAAACAGACAGGTAGCAGAGTACATTTTCCAAAGCTGACTCAGAGTTACTTCTCCAGACCAAACTGCTGATGCTTGGTCAGATGTTGCATCTGTGTTAGCAGAAAATATATTTTGTTTGTCTAGTTGCATACGGAGCGGTGTGCTTATGCATTTACACCGATCACTGAAAGTGGAATATATAATCAAACATCTCCTCATGCTAAGAGGAGGGAGGAGACTACGAGATCACATTGTATGAGCAAACATATCAAACTGCTTATCTGGGTCTTTATCTTCATGCTGAGAAGGAATGTTGGAGACACAGACCTAACCAAAGTATTTTGCTGCTGAGATGGCATGTCCTAAAAAAAATCAATCGGCCAAAACAATCAGGGCTTGTACTGAAAGAAATGTTTGTCATACATACCTCTCTTAACTCGAGTCTCTGGGCTACTGCCTCCAAACATTCCTGTCCAGTGCTCTCCACCGACAGCGTAAACTCCACAAACTCTCCATTGAGAAGCTGAATCCGAGTGACAAGACAGCTCTTGCTTGAAACTGTATATCTTCGAGTTCTTTTTAGTTTCAAGCCAAATGGCAAGGGCATGTTTCACAATTCTTAACAGGAGGAGTCTTCACTCAGTCCACGAAAAGGATTCTTGGCATCAACTCGTAATTTGTTAGGATGCCTCTAGTCACGAGGCTCATCTTTAGGTGACAGATCTAAAATCAAGAAAACAAAGAAAACTCTCAAAAACTTTTTTTTTTAAACTGCAGCTATTTCAGACTAAAAAATAACGTTTGGTCTATCAAAAAATAAACTGTTTGTATTTGGTATCGGCCCTGCCCCTGAGTGTGCCAATAACACAGGTCAGAACAAACACCTGGCATGACGTGAGGTAATCCTCTTTAATGCTGCATTTTGTTAAGAACCGTGTTTATTCTACTTCGATAAACTAAACAGTTCAAGTATTAACGCTCTGAATAACTCGATCCAAAGCCAATGAAGTTAACAAATTTGAAGAGGACTGTCTCATCCAGAAGTCATTTTAATCAAGCCCGTAGTTAGATAATCCCCTCCCAGATAATAGTCCGGTCCACACAACAAACCAGTGACCCGATTTGATACGCAGCGAGCTACGATTTATCCCATGAATCTTTTTACTGCAGTCATGCATACACAGTATCTACAATACCCACATTTTGATTACGCCTATCATATATCACATTTTTAAAAGCCCAATACTATATCAGAAGTCTCCATGGATTACAAACTACTTTTAAAGCCAACTTTTAAAATAGTCCACGAATTAGCTGCAACGTTAGCCTGCTAACATAACGTCCAGCAAATAGACGACACCCTTGAGAGGCTGACGTCGCCGGTAAATATTTAGGGAGAGAAAAAAAATGTCAGCGTTACCGTTAGCCTTCAGACGCAATTTTTTAGTCCAACTATAATTCGGTCCTTAAATATTCCGTTGTCGGGATCATTGACATACGACTGTTTAGATAGTTATCGGCATTTGAAGCTGGTTTATTTGTCTGTGGTTTGCTCCTGGATCAAAACTAACGAAGCACCCCATGCCTCTTGGTCCAATAGTTCACATAAGTTCCAAGCGTGTTTCGCTTCCTGGGACTGGAACAGCAACAAGTGTCTCCCCGTCTCAATCCGCGGTGCTATATATTCAGCATTTATCTTTCATCTTTTCTTTTTCAACCAAAGGAAGTTGGTTATACTTAAACTCTATATTTAATAAGTGTAAAATCTATGGCTACCTACGTTTTCTTGAAAAGACGTTTCAAAGTGGCTATAGTTCCATCATGGCGGAGGAATACATGGAGGTTTTCTGTGCCGTGACATCAGATAGCTGGAATGCTGAGCGCTGAAAATGCCAGAAATGGGACAGCTGTCACGCACTGCTGGCGGCAGACCTGTTTGTTTACTTGTTTAGCATCGACTAACCTCACCAAACAGCTGTAATCGTATACACGTAATGGTGAGCAATGCAGTATTTGTCTGCAAAATAGCCGCAGACACGATCTTCAAAATTGTTCACAGTACAGACACCTGTTATTGGTTGTAGGGGGATCACATTCTTCGAATGAAAGCATGGAATAAACAGGGGTAGAACAAAACGAAAAATAAAAAGCATTTATTTCAATAAAAAGTTTTTTTTTACAGTCTATTAGTTGCTACATGTCAGAGGTTTATGTTAAGTCAAACACATTCAATATAATATTTTCTAGAAATGTTTTTCTAAAAATCTGAAAACGTTTAAAGTACAGCTATGGCATGAGCAGCCAAGTTGCTCAAACGGCAGCATGCCTATACCTGAAACATTTAAACTTTGCAAAGAAGACTATATTCATAGAACCATTTAAGTTGTAATAAGTTAAAGCAGAACCAAGAATAATGGCAGTTAGACTACATCTGTACCTAATCACCCAAAAGAAACAACTGATATTTTCATGGAGAATTTGTGAACGTAACTATCAAAAAAGCACAACAGAACTAAAACATTTCTTCATGGTGTTTTGCAAAACATAAAACATCAGCGCTGTGACATTCTTTAGAAACTCTACTCTGCATAAACACGGATCTGAGAATAAAAACAGAAAAGAACACTCAAAACCCAGATTTAAAGACACCTAGAAATCATCATCACTAACAGAAGCAACTGGAGTAGAAGTGTCTACATTTTCAGAGTGTGTATTGCTGGACAAGTGCAAGGACACTGACAAACTTTTTCCAAGATCTTCAACCTCGTTTAACTCGCCATCAAAAGGGGTACTAGCTGAGGTTAGAGCAGTGTTTACAGTACTGTGATCATTGTTTTCAGTGTGGTTATTAGTTGTGGTTGAGTCTACCGGATAAAAATTCTCCTGACTATTGCCTTCGTTATCAGTAACATTGCCAACCATCAAAGGCGAGTCATTGCCTTTGGCTTCACAATTACTCTCCCTGTCCTCCTCATTTGTGTTGACTGAGGTTCTTTCAGGAGAACATAAGGGTGTCGATACGAGGATAGGGTCGGCTAATTCAGGCAAACCGTTGTGTTTAATGAGTGACGTGTAATCGAACGGGTCAATGTCATGTTTGGCCTTCCCTTGCATCCCTCCAGATTCCATTTCTGAAAACACTGTGTCAAGAAGATACTTTTCTTTTTTTTCAGGCCTATTATTAGAGCTGGAGACACTGACTGGTTCTTCAAAGTCTTTACGTAGCACTTCCAGAAGGTGGCGCATTTTAGCCTGAAAATAAGCATGACAAGATCTTCAAAAAACAAACAAGACTCTCTCTGTTGGTGTGTTACTCATGAAAAACATGCACTGACCTCATCGAGCTGATGCAGATTCATATCAATGTGACGTTTCATCACCCGGTTTAGGACCCTTTAACAGAACATTGACATTTGTGTTCTAGTAACCATTCAGAATTGAGATTTTTTTGTAAAATATTTACACAAAGAATCAAACCTATTAACCAACAATCAGTCTGAAAATATATGTCTAACATTCAATGAGGCCCACACAAATTCACTGCACACTTAAAGCATTAACATGTTTCAGAGATGAAAAACCTGTCAGAGATGTGCCCCCTGGACAAGATATCTTCTGTTACAGCAGAAATGAATTCAAGGTACATTAACTCTTCCTCTCTGGTGAAAAAAAACAGATGACAATATTTGCTCGGTAGCAAAGACACTCATTTAAATTGCTCACTGAAGCATTACACTGTCAAATTTAAACTCGCATGTAAACATTTTTGCTAATTAAACGATGTGAGGTTGTTTAAAACAAGAGGGAGAACTTACTCAGCAGATACACGGCTCATTATGGGGGATTCTCCTCCTCCTGGAGAGAACCTAGAGAATGAGGTGCACACTGTTTGAGAACTTTGCTGAAAATAACATGTATCACAAAGAATAAAATGCAAGATGTTGCCTCCTCTGTATGATTTCACCTGGACGAGGAAACAGAATAATGCTGTCTTTTCTTATTTGTTCGACTCTGATGTTTCAATGCTGACAAATATGTGCCATTGACCTCATCCTCAGACCACTCATGCTCTGTGGAATATTCCTGTCAAATGCAATAGTGATATCATTAAAGATAGAAAAATTCGGATAGTTTCAAAATTGACGATGATTGTAATAATCAAGCCAAATCTTTAAAATCACCTGAGATTGGTCATTGAGTTCCTGTGTATATTCCTCATTTTTAGGGCTGTATCAGAACAACAGAAACTTACTGGAGAACAAGCTGCAAAAATAAATGCATTAGACATACACCTAATCCAACATTTGATTGGTACCTTCCATGATATGTTTCCTGTCGCATCATCCTTGAGTGGCTGAAATCCTGAGTAGGTTTCCTAGGTGGAGCCCTGTAGTAGCGATATTTTGACAGGTAGGAACTCTTATCTGATTTCAGTGTCTTGGGAGTAAATGGTTTGTCTTGGGTAAAGTGCTGTGCATGTTTATGGATCAAATCTCCGCCGTACGTCTTCTGGACAGGGTCCTGGAAGGTCTTGTAACAACCCTGATCCCCCAAAGCTGCCAAAGAACCTGCTGACTGTTTTCTTTGCAAAGCCGGTCCTGGGCTCCGGTACTTTATCTCTGATGCTGGGCGAGTGTGATGGGTACTGACTTTACATGAGGGATAAACTATGTCCTTGGCGTTAAAGGAGGTGGTGAACCTTGGGCCGGAGGAGATGGAGCTTCCTGAGCAGAGGTAGGGGCTCCCATCATACTGCACCGATAACTGACTCTAAAACGAAAACACACAGTGAGGACAGAAATATTTACAATGTGCTTTTTTTTGGTTTACAGATATGTTACTATGGCATGAAGAAATAAAAAAGAATCAGTGTCTGTCTGGATTTCATACCTGGGTTGGGGAGCAAGGTGTTTTGCTACTCCTTTGTAAGAAAGATTGGGCTGACAGAGGACGAGCCCCTTTCCTCAGCCGCTCTTGTCTGACCTGGTCATGGTCTGTCAGCGGGTGACAAAGAAATAGAGTGAAAAGATTTGTTTCAAACTAATGTTATCAACAAAGTCTGTGCTTGTTATGGCATATGTTTTGCTTGTTTGGTCGTATTTGCTCAATTGCCTGGGATGACTTTACCTAGTCTAAAGACAATATGAGAAGTTGCCTGCATCTATTTGTTGGATATGTATGGATCGATATTAAATCTTGGAGAGCACAGTCATGAGAGGAAAGTTATGACTACCATTACAGAAGAGGATGAGGGGGAGTTGCATCCTGTCCTAAAGTGTAATGGATGTCTGCTTATATTTTCGCTCAATGATGCGTTAGACGGAGCAGTAGACTGGCTGTTTTCAAATGTCACTTTTAACAGAATTTTACTAGTTCTCTTTTTGAATTTACTGACGGCAGTTTACAGACTTGATCAGGGAGTTAAGTATCATCACTTTTGAACTGTGTAGTGATAACAAGCTCCGGTCCTCGAGGGCCGCTATCCTGCAGGATACAGAATTTCCTGCTTCAACACATCTGATTCACATCAATGCGCCATTAGCTGGGCTCTTCAGAGTTCACATGTTTTCAAGAGATCGTTTCTCACAGAATCAGGTGGGTAGAAACTGTCTAAAACCTGGAGGACAGTGGGTATCGAAGACCAGGGTTTGCCACCCTAAACAAGGTTTTATTTCTAAGATGATTTTCAATTTCAATTTATTAGGCCTGTTGTCAATAAACCAGATCAGCTGTGATATCCAATTTCACTTCTCTACAGTTTTAGTGTGGCATTTGACCCACTATCAATATAGTAAACATTTACTGAATACATCCAAACCACAATGTTCTTGGCTGCCAGATACACTTGGATATTTGACACTTTGGTACTCACATTTCACACTTGACAACAAGCTCTTGGGCACAGAGTTATCAATTGCAGCTGCGGAACAGATAGATATGATCATTATTGTCATAAAAACATCCTTAAATGCATTACATCAACTTCTCTGTAAATGTGTGTCTGGCATGTGCATGACCTCACCTTTGGCTGAGTAAACCTTTTTGTAATGAGACACCATGTGGTCTTTGATGATGGACTGTGTTAACTTGCTGGAGGAGCGATGGCAGAAAGCTAAAAGGAAGAGATAATGTTCAGCATTCATCTTACAATGACCAGAAACACTGGCGTGTTAACACTTACGATTACTTTTCAGTGTTTGCCCTCTAACTCCAGGACTGCTTCCTAAACCAGATGATACACTCCCTGAGAAAATGATGAATTTACACACAGTATCCAGTTTAATCATTAAACATGCAAGTAAACTCAAACATTGTGAAATATCATTTCCACACAGAAGTTGTCTGATAACCTAATATACTTATGTTGGATAGACATATGTAAATTATTGCATCCTTACTTGTGTATAAGAATATTTAACTAAGATGAAAAAAAGTTAGACCAGTATTTAGTACATTCTTAAGTAAACAAAACAAGTCTTACTGTGATGGTGAAATTACAAGTATCTGCCAAAAAATAGCTGATTTCTGTATATGCAAGATTAGATTATTTTAAATGGTTTGTTGCACGTATACTTCGGATTTATTTCAAATAACTAGCAGAAATTGAATGTATAAGAGTGGCAAATGTTAAGTTAATAAAAACGTTTAAAAAAACTAAAATTTCTAAAAACGCTTTAAAAAACTAACATTTCTCTGCTGTGTTACATTTAAGGCTTATCTTTGGTCTTCCGTATAATCAGTGTGGGCGATGACAATTAGCGTAAAAAAACACAAACACCATTAAGACTCTTTAATGAATGTGTGCAAGGCATCATGTTTCCACGAACAGGTAGCTGCATAAGCACAAATTGAATTAAATTCCTTCTTCTGATTATCCAACTAGTTCCCTAGCTAGCCAATGCTAAGAATCTTAGGATACCTGTTCTCGACTCCATTGTAACGCTACATTCAGCGTATCCCATTTTCCAGAGAACTGTCGCGAAGAACTGAAGGCTTTGCTAGGGCATATCTGGGAACTTCAGTCCATTTAATGCTGAACATGATAACTCAGTAAAAATAATTAACTAAGCAACGTCAAACTATTACACTTTAGTAGCCTAAACAGATGGAACGCGAAGCTTGTCCGTCGCCATGCTGGTTGCTATGATTGCCTGCGTCATCACGTCAGCATGGCGCTGATGCGTAAAGAAGGACGTCCCACAAATCCAGGCAGGAGCACTGAAGCAGTTACATGGTACAAATGGTGTAACGTAGCCTACTCAGTGTGGATAAACTATGGGACAAAACTGCAGATAAACAATTTAAGGGAAAAAATCTGAAACTTTTTGATCACACACATTGTACATGCTCATGCTTTGTGTTTTTTTTACACTGTATTTTTGAGGTGTGGATATTCTAGTAAAAATAGCGTTCCACAGTTTACAGGCAGGCCTGATGGAGAAAATTGTTTTAATATTATATACTGTATATATATATATACATATAGGTGTTTAAGTATATAAAGAGTTGCTGATTTAAGGGAAAGTAACTTCAGTGTTCCCGTCAGGACGATCCTTAATTAAAAAACTGCAATAAAATAAGTTTAAAGTTCATATTTAACATATCCGCTGAGACTTCTGCTCATGACCAAAACCTAAAATGAATTAGTGGTGAATTGGGAATTCTGATGAATGTTAATTAATCTCACATCGTCCCCAGAGCCTTTAATCCCTCCCAGATACATTAAGCCGCAAATAACCCCACAAAAACCGATCATTGCGTGCCATCATGATACATCCCACCAACCTCAGCCTCATTTACTGTAATATGGCATTGTGATAGTCCGATGAATGGTGGAAAATAGAGTGAAGTAAGCATACGTTTTGTGCACATTGTGGCCATGAGAACACTCTGTCAGCAACATATTGTTAAGACTGCCATGTTCCTTGTATTGTTTGAAAGACCTTTTAACCCATTGCATCATTTATAAGCAACATGAGAGTTATTACTCTGACATGCAAACTTGTAAAAGTGGCAGACTGATCATGTGTTATTTCAAGCTTTATACAATTTCTGTTTTTATTTGATGTACGTTTCTCATGTTTTTTTTTCTTCAGATGCGGCTCTGATATTTTTGGAGACTTGTATTAACCAATAGATCTACAGATTAATCATACAGTAAACCGTACGTTTGAATTTTTAAAAATGGGAAGACACCGTCCTCACATTTAAGAGTAGGCTTAAGACTTTCCTTTATGATAGAGCTTATAGTTAGGGCTGCTCAGGTGAGTCCACCCTTAGTTATGTTACCATAGACCTAGACTGCCGGGGGATTTCCCATGATGCACCGAGCTCCCTTCTCCTTTCTCTCTCTCCCTCTCAGTGCAACCTCATCCCATTAATGCATGTTACTTACTGGACTTTCTTCCCTTTCCCTTAATCGTGTACTTTCTTGGTTCTGCTCGAGGTTTCTGCCTCTTAAAAGGAAGTTTTTCCTTGCCTGTGTCGCCTTGTGCTTGCTCTTGGCGGGAATTGTTGGGCTTCTGTAAATAACTTCAGAGTAGGGTCTGACCTAAACTGTTTGGAAAGCACTGTGAGATAACTGTTGTTGTGATTTGGTGCTATATAAATAAAACTGAATTGAAGTGAATACTTTTTTCTGCATTTTATGTGTTTTAGTGGGCGTTGTTTCAACCCATGACCATTTATTGAATGAATCCATGTAACAAAAATCACAATTGTAATGTGGGGCTGTTTTCAGATGTCTCATGATCAAATATTATTCTCCAGATTTTTTGAGTTACTTCCATGTTTATGTTTTGTGAAAGTATAGATTTATTTTGGAGTTAGTTTATGGAGAGGTACTCATTCCCTGAGAATGTTTTAACTTAAACTGAAAGGTTACACCTTTTATCAACATTTCAGCTTCAGGAAGCTTGCTCTCTACCCTAATGAATGATGAACACAGTTTGTTTCAGCCCATAAATGATCAAACAAGGCATTTTATAGCCTATAATAACCAGTTAAGGGGGTTGATATGATAGAGAAGGTAACCTATCTATATACGATGTGGGATTCATTAATTATTCATGCCACAACTCCCACTCGTGAATGATGTAATGGGCTAGGTCTACCACTGGTTTGATGCGCCATGTGCTCAGCTGCCGGTTGCCAGTTAATGAGAAGATAGTATTTTTGTGGACAAACAAGAGTGAGTATTTATCAAGACGTAGATTAAAATGTATTTAATTTACACGAGTGGAAATTAAGGTGATGCATAGCTCGACGCATCTTCACACACAAAAAAATGCAGGTGGAGCCGTGGAGGGAGGAGAGCATCCTTCCCTGTGTTCGTGCTGCTGGTGTAACGCGTGCGTAAAGACGCTCGATTGAACACACTGGCACTGTCTCTGGACCGGACCACTGCTGTAGTGTGACAAGGGATGTGGTTTGGACCACCGTGTGGTGCCACAGCTCAGAGAAAGGCGTCGGACGCAGTCTATCTCAAGTCTGTCATTGGCACAGCGCGATCGAGCCAGGCGGAGAAAAAGGGAGGGGGGTATTCTGCTAGGGAGCCAGACAATGCGGTTTCGTGATACGTTCATTTCTTCATACTATTTGAACTAAATTCTACAAAAAAAACAAATGGCCTGTCGAGGATGTGGAAAAGAAATGTTTTGTAATTCGTGCGGTTTTCTCTAATTTTACACTCGCGTTGAATTCATTTTTTCTGCCAGCGTCGTGATTGGAAGCAAAACCATGAAATTTCCAATAGAAAACCAGACTAAACAAGTTAACTGGGACCCAGAACAAGGTTGGTAAATCGCACCTTTTCATTGAATTGTGACTTTGTGATTGAGACTAAGTGTTTTTAGTTTATAAAGATGGTCCACTCTTGATCTCAGCAACATCTCTGGTAGCCAGGCACCACCGCATCAGATCACCTCATTCTCCCGCTTGAGCAGTTTTACATTATTCCTCTCTGAAAAATGTCCCCTCTTTTCTATCTCATCAGATCTGGTCTAGATCGATGCAGTAAATTTGACAAAAACGATCATTTGGGATAAACAAAGTGCTTGTGTTCTTTCTATTCTCCATCATACGTGTGCTGAGTAGTGTTAGGCAGCCCTGACTGAACAGGTACTGAAAAATGTCAGGCGAGCAGAAATTACTAGCTTGAGACCGAAAATGTTCCCAAAACAAGAGTGGACCACTTGTTGACTTAGAATTATATTCACAAAAGGGAATTCACATGGTGGTGTGGTGGTTAGCACCTCACAGCTAGTTGTTTGTCTTTGTTTGGCCACTGTGATTTCCTATTAACCTTGTCACACATGAGATATTCTGAGAGGGCTTTCCCCACATAAATGACTGTGACGCCTCCTCCTCTGTGCCCGCTGTGGCCCTCCTAAAACAACAGGATTTGGATTGATCGGAAATTAAATAATCCAATAAATGTATCTGAAGCAACAAACGAATATTGATAGCTAAAAAAATTTTTTTTTTCAAAGAGAACATTTTTATTTTGAAATCTGTTTCTGCCGGAAGTCTTTACTGTCTTAATTGTATTCATGCTGACTTGACTTTTGGTTTTGAGGCTCAGCTGGTGACTTAAATCACTGCAACCAGCCCAACACCATATGGAGCAACAATGCCAAGAGCCATCTTAAGGCTGTCTCTCATGTAACTTTTACTGATTTGGTTTAGGTACCAGTTCATTATGCATTGAATAATGCTTTTGGAATAGAACATACAGTGAGAAGGCAGTTGTGTCTCCGCTTTTTTCATCCCTTTTGTGAGCAACACGAGAAGATACTCCATTATGGAGCACAGTCCCTGGTGAATATCCCCTGGCTTGACATACTAGAAGCAGAAAGTTGGGGAGGGTGAGAGCATCTGATCCTACAAGATAAAACATTGCTTTCCTCTTCGCCCATATTTAATATTGAAAAAAATCGATGTGAAGCTGCCTGAAAATGATTTTATCCTAATGGAATACTGACTCAGAAGCTCTTAGTTCGGTTTTTGATACACAAACTACAGCTGCTATTCTTATTTGTAAGTAATTTAACTTACAACTTTATGCTTTAGTTGTCACACTATCATTTCTCCAGTCTCACTTATTGGTTAAAAAAGAAAAAAGCTTCTTCCATCTTATTCTAACCCATATCTTGTCATGAAAAATGATCATGACTCCACCTGTACTTTTAATTGAAAGTGGCTTTTTTGCACTTGTGCAAATTACATTATTTTGTTGTTATTGATCCACTCTGAACTGGGGGTTTTCTGTAAAGATTCATAGCCACTGCATCAGAGTATGAGACACTTCCTGGATGCCCTTGATTTATCGGGTAAGCCTATTTGTATTTGCCACACCATTCTATTAAACACAACAGTGTCTCTCAGCCAAAGCTATTTCTCACTCCTACCTTCCAGGGTTACATCATTATAGACAGCAGACTCAGCCTATTGCTTTGAGGCACTCCATGCTTAGAAGCCTAAGAGAAGAGGGGGTGTAAGGGGTGAAGACCAGTGCCCTGCAAAGCTTATACAAGAGACACATTAAGGGGATCTAAATTTGGCTACCTCCTCGGAGCCTCTTGCTTCATAGTCCACCTGATACAGAATACGTCCATTTGTTATAAAATCCAGTGCACTAATAGTGAATGAAACACTTACCCTTCACTTAGTGCACTTGGAAAATTGGATTCTTCTGAGTAACTCAATTTCCATTTCTACCTAACAATTTTAAAAGGGCTTTAAGCATGCCTTAAATATTTGTAAATGCTTTCCTTAATGTTCACTGCTAATTCAAATATTAAAGATTTTCCCAGCTTTAATGTTTCGGTTTAATGCTAAATGATGTTGAGATCAAACCAGGAGCGCATGGGGCGTGGGCTGAGTTTGGCGGGAGCAATCTGAGACTGCTGCAGATTTTCGGGACGAAAACAACACGTTCTGTGACAGAGTCTTACTGCAGACAAGTCTGTAGCCTGGGAAACAGGCATTTTCTCTGAAAGCTCTGCATTTCTGCACTGCAAATAGCTATTTGCAACATTTTATTTGAACAGTGTGGGCAGGACAAAATATTTTAAAAGCTTCACACGAGGGAATTGTTTTTCAATCGTTTTATCTTTATGCATGCATATTTATACGTCTGCACACTGTGGTGTCCCTTTGTTATTAATGAATGTTAAATGGAAGCCACAAAAAGGTGAGGTCACTGTTAAACTAATTTCATCATATCTGTTCATATATTTTTCAACAAACTGGTTATCTTAGACAAATGCCTCAGCCCATTAACACATAATCAACTACCTACAGCAACCACGTAATGTTTCTTTAGCAATAATAAATTACTGTCTCTGTCTTTGTACTTTTTTAACAAGAAATGGCAACAAAGTATGTATCAGTCTAGCCTTTTCTTACTTTCTGTCGCTTTCATAGTGGCGGTCCAGACCAACTTGGTCCCTCCCAAGAAGATCCAGCCCGGCATGGTCAAGTCAAGCCTGGTCCAGGCAAGTGTGGCCACCATGCAAAACCCCATGGGCTATGATCCAAAGACCAATGGCCACTGTCCGCTTCCTCGCCTCTCCATCTCCTCCCGCTCTGCCAGCATGGTGGCTAGTCTGGATGCCAGCAGCGACGGGTCGCTTGCAGCTCTTCATTCGGTGATGAAGTGGAAGACGGTGCTGGCTGTGTTCATTGTGGTTGTTCTCTACCTGGTTGGTGGAGCCCTGGCGTTTAAGGCTCTGGAACAGCCTTTTGAGAGTAACCAGAAGACCAGCATCACCCTGGAGAAGGCCTCTTTTCTGGAAAGGCACCAGTGTGTCACTCCTACTGAGCTCGATGACATCATCAAGGTGAGTTTTGGGAAGGAAACATGATTGTTATGGTTTTATGTCATTTGAAAATGGTAATGTTTTTGCTTTGGTCTTCCAGCTGTTTGACAGTTTTATCACCAAGACAGAACAGGAGCGTAAGATCGATGTTTGTACATAATTTTGGTCCTCACTGCATTCAGCAAATAATTAGGACAAGACAGCATTCTTTCGAATGGTTTGAAAAAATGAAGACTGTTCTTTTTAGAACATAAATATTTGTGCAATGTGAGGAGGAAAAGGGTGGTGGCAGCTATCCACAAAAAAAAACTGTGCACAGCTTGTGTCCAGATCTTAGCTACACTGGATCACAGGCTGAAATAAAAAAGATTAAGGCCTGTCAACAGAACAACAATCTTTCATGTTGTACTGGAACTGCAGTTTGAGACGTGTTCAAAGTTTTCCACAGTTATTTGACTTTTCTTCACTTTCACGCATGAGTGATTGCAATTTTCCTAGTCTCAAGTGGATGCTAAGGAGAAAACATGTAATTCTTGTTTCAGCAAAATTGCAGAGGCATTTCAGAGACTGAGATCCTAAATCTGCTGTCAAGATTAAGTCTGGCATACAACCATTAACTGCTATTCTCTCTTAAATGATAGAGGCTTAAATCATGTCAATTTACTTTTAGTTGAAATCACAAAATAAGGCGTTGATTATGTTATGTATAATCACAATAAAATGTGTAAAATAACTAAAGGTTCATAAGGAAATAGGAAAGAGAAACAGAAAGCAATCAGGTACCTTTGCCAGCAATTAAAAAATGTATTACAGATAGTTTTCAATGAAGTGTCATGTGTTAAAAATGGAGATAATGATAAATGTACAGCCTTTAGGCATTCAGGTAGTTTAAGTAAATGGTTGTAAAACATCTATAAGCAATTATGTTAAATTCCTTTCACTAATTGGGATTATTACAGCTGGATGCTCAGAAAAGTAAGTGGAAAAACTTCAAGTGAAAAATGTTGAGTAGCTCTTGAATTGGGGTTGTTTTGAAGAGTGAGGTGCTTTTTTTAGGATGTTGTCATTTCCAGAACAGTCATCCTCGAATCGAATCCAACACACTCTCCCATGTACTGCAACATTCCAAAGCAGAGGCATTTGTGTACCTGGTGTTTTATTTTTGTTTTTTCATCTCTAGAAATACTTCTATCGGTAGTGGACTTTGGAATGGTGTCCTCCCTCACTACTCGGGACTATTTATAACATTCTGTTGCTCAATTTATTGGACACACTGAACACCTAAATATAAGAGTAAGGGGGTGTTTACCAAAGGTCCAGTCTCTAAATCCATCGTAGAAAAAAACAAAGCTTACACTGAAGTCAAATAGAATATCTTTTCTTGTTCTTATAGACTTCGAGGAGATAATTTACTGGCATTTTCTATACTAATTACAGTAACAACAATGAGCAAATTAACTGATTATATCGAGTCTAAAACACAGTCAGTATGCACACCCCAGCTGTTTGCTGCCTGTTTTGTCAACAGCAGCTCCATCCCTGAGCCAAAGGTGCAGTATCTCATCTCAGGGTCACCACAATGTACTGCTTTGTGACATATTACATTAATTAAAAGATATACTGTGCACGCACTGCAGTGTTATATCATACATACAAATAATCCAGGAAAAAAGGTCCATTATGTGTCATCTATCGAAGACAAATTTTGAAACAGAAAATGGATTCCCATGTACAAAAACGGTGTGGTATTCTACCTTAAGCATTTAGTCTCTCTTGAAAAGCAACAAACTCACTGACACTGAAACCTTGAGTCTCAGTTCTCTTTATAAGGGAAAAAAAAATCCAAATCCATATTGTAGATTTATCCATTTGTTTTTTAAACAAATACATTTCTTCAACAACATCCAGTCCAGAAGGACTTTAGTGACTGAAAAAGGTATTATTCTTGACTGACAACCCTTGAAAGCTTATTGATATATTATCTGTAGAATTAGTCTTTCAGTAGAATTTTAATAGACTGCCATTACGGAGCATTCAAACATTTTAAATTTGTTATGTCCAGTACCTCAATGCATCAGACAAGACAGGGAGCAGAACTTCATAGAAAAGAGCAATTAGCATCACAGTGCAAGTTAACAGCACGTTTTACAGTGTAGTTTTACACTGTCAGCAGCACTAGCACACAGCATGGCTATGATTCACACTTCTTTCTGGCATCACACCCAGAGTTATGGGTCGAGATGTAAGGTCATTACATCAAGCTGACATGAACAAGTGGTTGCGGGATTAGAAAATGATTTGAGATGTGCCAGTGTACAGTTGGCTGGGTAGAGGGTTTGATTTGTGTGATTTATGGGGGGTGCAGTTTGTCTGTGTGTGTGTGTATGTGTGTGTGTGTGAGGGGGGGGGGTTGCGTCAGTCAGACAATCTGTATGGATTCCCAGTGAAACAAAAATCAACAGCTGAGGTATGTGAATCCCTTCAATTCCTCTGTCATGAATCAAGTTGGAAATAACTAATTATCTGAAGTCAGTACTGCAGTTAAGATTGTTTAGAAAAAAAATGCTGTGCTTATGTAAACCGATCAGAACAATTAGAATTTTCTAACTCTGTTTTCTAGTCTTAGAAAAGTAAAGATAAAACTCCAGCCAGTGCCACAGTGGAACCCTTAAACTTGACTTAACCTCACAGAAAGTACCACTAAAAGAACACTCGGAACACTGGAACACTTTCCACTAGAATAGCTCCACTTGATGTAAACGTCTTGCACACTGCTTCAAAGTTGGACTGTCTATCTGATTTCTTCTGCTCCCCACCCACTAGTGTTCTTCTTCGAGATGCATCCTTTGTATATCTTCCCTTGCAGTGCTCAACCTTTGAGCCACAAAAGCACTATCAGGAGTTTGTAAAAATCAATGGCAGTATTTCCCAAGGAGAAGCTTGGAAATTAAAACCTTGAGCATGGTGTGCTTGGGGTCCAGAGGGAATCAATTATTCATTGTACAGACCAGCAGTCACTCACCTCTTGGCGCACAAAGCAGAAGTGCTTGTAGCAGAAGCTGAACTATAGACACACGTCTTTTGAACAAATGTTAAGATTACAATGTCAGATAACATGCTATTGCACATGATTAGACTTGAACATTCTGAAAGCACCGTTGTTTGCTTAGAATTTTACATAATTTGCAAAAAAGGAATTGTTCTATTATAAAGGGAATATAGTATTCTACTGTTTTTCTTTTATGTTTACAGTATAGACCAGACCAGAACAAGCCAAACAAACTGGTCTGTAATTCTATCTTTACTGCACAGGTATGATAAAACATCTTCTCTACCAAAACAAAAAAAATGATGGTGTAACATGAGCAAAACTAAATAGATATCATGCCATTTGTGGTTCTACCACAGAAAAGTTATTTTCTTCTTCTTGTTATCTAACAAAAACACCTGCAAAAAGTGCTGTTTCATGCACACTATCAACAAATCAGTCTGGTCTTCCCACATTTTCTGTTAGCCATCTGTTCACACTCAAGCCCATCACTGCTGAGGACCTTCCGACAGGTCACAGGAGTGGTGACTCACTGTTTTCAAACTGTTTGGGAGGAGTTGACTGAAAAATGGGAACTTTGGGATGGAGGTTTGTGATCATATATAAGAAAGAAAGCTCATTGCTGCACAGCATGAGTTGACATAATGGTTGTGAGTTTGAGTGTGTCAGTACATGTCTGTTGACCTCCTCGCGTCTGCTTCGGTATCTGTATTGTCCACACACCCACTGTGCTCTCGCAAAGAAAGCAGCCCTAATTGGCTTCCCTGGTGCTGTTTTGATGACTCACACAGTGGCATGATGGGAAGCCATACTGTCACTGGCAGCAGTCAGGCCTCGCTTATCGATGAGTCAATTATCCACAAATAAACTTTTGAATTGACTAAGCTACTTTCAGCAAAACGGCCTCAGGATTTTTAACCTGTGACATGACAGTTCTTTGCAGCGATATACATGGAATAAAATAACAACATAGGTCATTTGAAAAGCATATCAGGATTACAATTGTTTTTAAAATCTCTTAAACCACATATTCTATTCACAACAGAACATAGAAAATGTATAAAGTTTTGAAAAGATATTTTTAATGTTAAGAAAAGGTAAAATGTCATTTTTAATTCAGTGGCTGCCTCGTGCTTGTCATGTTAGCCATCGTGCATGCTTTCTGCTTAGGGCAGACATACAGTATGTCTCTCATTCAGCATATGTTGCTCCAAAAACCTGTGTAGACCGTACAGGATTAATAATGAATGTCCAGATGTGCAGGTTTTCAATTTAGAACCACTAATACACCCACATAAAGTCATAGATGCAGGCTTTTGAACTGAGCACTGATGATGATGGTGTCTCTCCTTCATAGTATGGGGAACACGGTTTCCATGGCACTCTTATTATTCCCAGTAATCTAACTGATGTTGCTGACTGTTGCTTCCATTATTTTCAAAATAAACCAGTATTTCCCATTAAATTGACAAATGCCTCACTTTCAGTACTGTAAAGAAAGCACAGGTTTGTGAGATCTGTTAGAACTGTTGCTTGTTGTTTTTAATTAAGGTTTTTATTCAAATATGTATTTCAGAATCCAAAGTAAGACTTCTGAACTGCTTTAGTTTCAACAATGAACCATAACTTGCTCTGCAGATGTCATACCAGCTTTTACTGTGATGGATCTTAGTCCTTCCGTGGCTTCAAGGTGGTAAAGGTGAAGCCAAGGCTATTACTGATGGTAAAAGTGATGCAGAGGAGTGCTTGGCACCACGTCAGGATGCAGTTGGGTGAAGGAGATGGTGAGGCTCCACGCTGGCTGGATGGCTGCTGTCACACGCTGTGGGGTGGAAAGTCACACTGAGAGGATAGAAATCTGCAGTGGCTGTCTGCTGTCTAATGATCCTGCAGTGGTGAATGTGAAAACACATTAACCAAGAGCACCGTTGGTGGTGGCTGTATTTCTGGAAGAAGAATTCTTCCGTTGTGACTCTGTGGTTAAAAAAAAGTAGAAAAAGCATGATGTGTGCAGCAAGAATACAATCTGCACTGGTAATTAACAACAGTAATTTATCCTTGTCATACAATGGGTAGCAGACCTGTTTCATGCTTTACATGCTGAATAATCTAGACCTGTGAAAAGGTACAAAAATAGATATGCCATTAAATATTCATATACAAAGCTTTTTATAGCTCTCCCTTGACTGTTCAATTAGGTTATTAGCGATTTATCCTATGATAGCTACTATAATGTTTTTCCTATAATCTAATCTAATCAAAAATATATGAAACAGCATTATTGTAACTGATGCAAAATGTTTCCCATTAGTGGAGCTGTGATGATGGAGCTAAGGTGATAACATGCAAGATTATGAGTTGGTATGTGCAGCGGTGTTTAAAGGTGGTGCTGTGCTCGGACAGGATTGCAATGTATGTCACGAGAGTTGGTGCATCTTTTATGATATGGAAGTGCATCCCCCTGAAAGGTTGTAAAGATTGGTTGGGGCTTTCACAAAATGAAGAGGTTGAACTGTACATCCTATTGGTAAAGACACTACGGTACTTCTCATCAAAGACCTCCTTCACAGTCCACTTAATGACTGGAAGATTATGTTTATTTGAACCTGGAGGCAAAATCTAACATTATAAATTCTGAACAGGATGAGAAAATACATTAAATTCCCATAAACAGGGAAATTAGAAAAATAACACAATATAGTAGATAAACATTTTATCGATATATACTGGAGAACAGGGGAGATCATATTGGGGGAATAATAAAGTTGGTCGGGTTTTCCTGAAGCTGGGAGGCTAAAAAAAAAAGTACTCTAGAATGTATTGATTTAATTTTCTACAACTATATGACCATGCAAATTGTGTGGAGTGGAAAACATCTCTGTATGGAGAGTGGGACACTGCATAAATTGAGCAGATCTTGTGCTTCATATTTGTACACATATCCATATACACCGAAATAGTAGGGGTTAGTCATTATGGTGCATTTTCTGAGGTAAATAGAAAGCTGTGAAGAGGAAAGCATGAAATACTTTTGCATTTGGTAATTCATCTTTCTGTTGGCTCTTGGAAATATTTTTACTGATAATTAAAAGATAAAATCATTTTTAGAACTGCTTTTTCATTTATGGTCCTTTGTCCAACAGAGTTTACTTTTGCTTTGCAGATTTCTTATGATTTACCTCCAGACTGCATGGCTTAACTTCCATTTTCCGGCTCGGATATTTTTTTGGTAATTGTCTGTTTTATGTTTTCTGTTTCTGGGTCACACTACAAATGTACAAATGGAGATTTCTTCATATATAGAATAAGTTGATGAATACTTAAAGGTTATTTATGTCATTGATTATATTTATCTGCACATCAGGTGAAAGTGTCAACAAACAAACCCCTCTGTTGTCAGTGGAAGAGGGCAGGGGGATGGATCCTCTCAGCTTCTGTCAATTACCTTCTATGTCTATCTCTGAAAAGCGCCAAGCCATCAGTATAGAAAGCCTAAATGTCATTTGTCTTTTAGTTGTGTTTGCACTAAATCCTCTTTTTCAGAATTTAGTGCCAGAATGTTACAAAGTTCTATAAAGCAGAACTGTTGTTTTCCTTGTTTCCAGCATACTATAGATGCCATGAGTGCAGGAGTGAGGCCCATTGGAGAGACATCTTACAACTCCAGTTACTGGGACATTGGCAGCGCCTTCTTTTTTGCTGGAACTGTCATCACAACCATCGGTAAGGAATTTAAACATTACATTTGCCAGCTTTGACAAGTCAAACATTTGATACAACACTACATGTGAAAGAAAAAAAAATCTGTGTAAATGTTCGTCTTCTCATGTGGAAGAGTAAAATACAGATCTGCAGATTTAACTCACTGTCTAATGTTATGTCTGTTATTATTAATTAACTGTCTAAAATGCCAGAAGCATTCAATAACATCTTAAACACAGATAATTTTAATTTCCAATTGAATGAACAGACACAAGATAAATATTAAAGTAGTGGGTTTGACTATAAATAAACCAGTGATCTAGTAAATAATTGAGATGTGGCACAATTTAGTGAAATGGATTTTCATTATTTACAATTTAGTAGTAACAGCTGACTTGGAGTTTTTAAAAAGTCTGTTTATGTCTTTGATATATCTAATATTTTTAAAACTGTTTTTAATACAAGAAAGAAACTGAACAAATATATGACAATATGAACACTAGATGCATTTCATTGTTATTTCCTCAATTGCAGTGTACCTACAATAAGAACAAACTGAATTTGTGTAACTAATTCTAAATGGCAACATCTTTTCAGATCTCTGTAAATATATTCAAATCCCAGCACTTTACTCCTATGACAAGTGAGTTTAACTTTTCAAAATGTAATTACTCTGGGGCTTAACATCCTGTGAAGGTCAGCATTCTCATTAATGCAGACGCTGCTGATGGAGGTGTGTAGTTTTCTCCAAACGTGTAATATTCTCATTTGCTGATTTGCTGCCAGAACATGTTATTGATAACATGGTCATAATTCCTTCAACCCTACAAAGCCTGACCCAAGAAAAAATGGATAAGAAATCTTAACTTTATTAGTCTTTGTTCTTTTATTGAATGGAAAAAAACAAAAAGACAAACAAATGTAATTTGTATGTGTTTCTCTAATCCACACTTATTCAACGTTTTCTTCCAATTTTTTACAAACAAAAACGCAAAATGGCGTTAAAGATCGAGTGGAAAATTAATATCTTCAGTTAACTCTAATACATCATATGGTCTTTTACTATCCATGCATCTGAAACCAGAACTGATTTACCAAACCGTGTTTACCGTCAGAGTGAACTCACAAAACACAATGACCCAGACCTGCTGTTATGCTGTCGTCCTGAAACTGAATTAACTCTGGCATCTTTGTTGAGCACAAGTTTTCGGAGGCTTCATTAACATCACTGCCACATAGAATATTTTAAAGCAGGTCTGTGAAATATCTGGAATGATAAATTAGCTTGCTGTCAGTGTCCCAGAGCAAAGGCTGGAAGTAAAACATAATTGTACCAATTCAACTTACCATAGGCTCATTATTAATGCAATTTTCTTTTACATGAACTTAATTACTGTCTCTGGGAGAGCCTCTCCATGCACTAAGAAGTATTATGTAAGGACTCCAATTGATTATGTTGCATAAGAAAGACTTGATTGACTTCTGCTTCTCGTCTTACCACCTCCTCTTTGACCTTCCCTGAGTCTTTGTTTTTTTGTCTTCACTCCAATCAATACGTCTTGGCTACTTTTTGCTTTCTCTTTAGTCTGTTTCTAATCATGCTCACAATGTTTCAGGTTATGGAAACATAGCTCCAAGCACAGAAGGCGGAAAGATCTTTTGCATCCTCTATGCCATATTTGGAATTCCGCTCTTTGGTTTCCTGTTAGCGGGTATCGGAGATCAGCTGGGGACCATCTTTGTGAAAAGCATCTTGCGAGTGGAGAAAATATTTAGGGTGAGTTTAAAATAAAATATCTTTTTCTATCCATATAGATATATTATTTTTTGTTTTGATTTATTAATAGGTTCACAATGTCTAAGCCTGCTGTTAAATTCCCAGGATTTTTTATAATCTTGTTCTTTTCAGTATCAGATTCCAACATATCCTCTTTGCTTCACATTGGTTACTTCGATTGCTCCTCTTCTCACGATGATTTAATTTTTTTGTATTATTCCAAAAAATATCGATTTATTTTCTTTTCTTTTTTTTTTTTTTTTAGCAAAAACACAAACAGATCAGCCAGACAAAGATAAGAGTGACATCTGCAATCCTATTTATCCTGGCTGGCTGCATTGTCTTTGTTACCATCCCTGCCGTTATCTTCAAATACACTGAGGGCTGGACCACATTGGAGGCTATCTATTTTGTTGTGATCACACTAACTACAGTGGGAATAGGAGACTATGTAGCAGGTAAAGCTATGCAACAGAAAACAACACTGCCATCATGTAATATATTGTTGATGTGACATGATTTACTTATTTTAACCATACCTTCTTTTTTATTTTTCTTCAAGGTGGAAATCGGATGATTAACTACATGAGCTGGTACAAGCCTTTAGTGTGGTTCTGGATTCTTGTGGGTTTAGCTTACTTTGCGGCTGTCCTCAGCATGATTGGAGACTGGCTTCGAGTGCTTTCTAAGAAGACTAAAGAAGAGGTGGGTTTATTATTTCCTAAGACTAAAACAAAAAAAAAAGCAAAGCTACAGTGTAGATCCTATGTTATTTATTCTTAATAATTATTTGTTCGAATGTATTTTGAATGGTGATTGCTATTAACACTAAACAAGTGATCATTGGCCACACAGAGAATAGAAACAGAAACAAAGTCTCTTAAAATGCAATTATCGCTAAAGATAAAAACATGGTAAAAAGAAATTAAATAAAAAACATAAAAGTATCACAAGAGATACTAATCCCAATGTTATGGATGAAAGTTGTGCATTTCACTTTCCTTGGTCAATCCAAATATGGATTTTCTGCCAAAAAGAAAGTAATAAAAGTCAAGGGAAAGGAATGAATGCTAATTAAAATAACAATAAACAATATAGTCACCTCAGCATGGTCAATTTGGAAGCATTTAGAAGGGAATAAATGTCTTTTCTACTATGGATCAATGTAGCTGGGTTAAAACATATCTCTATAGATAGATGATTATGCCATGATGTTATTACACAGTCTTTACACTGTTGTTTTAGGTTGGGGAGATTAAAGCTCATGCAGCTGAGTGGAAGGCAAACGTACGGGCAGAGTTCCGTGAAACACGCCGACGTCTGAGTGTTGAGATCCACGATAAGCTCCAGCGGGCCGCAACCATCCGGAGCATGGAGCGCCGTCAGCTGGGCCTGGAGCAGCGAGCACACTCGCTCGACATGCTGTCGCCCGAAAAAAGGGCTTTGTTTGCCAGCCTGGATGCTGGCCGTTTTAAGACTTCTTCCCAGGAAAGCATCGACACCAAATTAAACAACCTGAGGCTGAAGGGGGCCTGTGAGTCATATGACCATCAGGCGAGCGAGCAAGCACAACAGACGGCATCTTCCTCGGAGGAGAATCTCTTCAACCGCTTCGGATCCCTCACCAAGCTGGCCAGACGCAACAAAAACCGCGAGCTGCGCAGGAACATTCCTGAAGATGCTCGACGGACAAGCGTGATTATAAACAACGGCAGTCCCATGCTGGGGGAAGAGAGGAAGGAGGAAGAGGATGGAGAGCCGGATGAAGAAAGCAGGGAGACGAAAGAGGGAAACATCAGTCTGACAAACCTGTCACAGTATGCCATGGAACGCTCTAAGTTGAATGGATCCATACCGACACAGGCCAAAGACAGAGAGAACGATTAGGTGTCAAATGCGTGAACACCTGAGCTGCAGACAGGGAATGAAAAGATAGACAGAATGATACTCAGACTGAGTCACAAGGAGAGGGCACAGTCCTTTGAGATGTCAAGAAATGTGCCTTTCTGTTTCCTATGCTTAGACTGGAACTGCTCCCAGGAAATTCAGTCATCGTGCCATAGCCATGGGAAGAAAAAATGTTGCCAAAAATAAATCAAATTGAAAATGCAGACGAGCCTGTTGTTAGAATACCTCATTCCATATGTTGCTGTAAAATGGGCTACCTGTGATGTATATCAGAGCTTTCTCCCTCAAGTCTGTTGTTTTCCAGCCCTCAAGGCTCTTATGAGACACCTGGGCAACAACCATCTGTTCATGCTGAATCCTATTTTTTTCACATTGTGGACACAACAGCGAGTGAGCTGGATTCATGTCATTCATCTTCAGAGAAACTATCGATCATTTTGTCATCTCATACTGTGGGGGCTTATTTTAGCCCAGCGGCCTGCTAAGAAAGGACTTCAGCATTTAATGACCAGAGCGTGGGAGGTTATGTTTCTGCTGGATCAATAAACAATGCTAGTAGTTAACTTGACGACATGTACAATTATTCCTACATTGTATGTGATGTTGAATATGTAGCCTAAAGGAAAAAACTACTGCATACTAATAGCTTAAACTAACTATACACAGTGCATGGTTAATAAAACACAGCCATAGCAGTTAACTGACATAAAGTAACTTGAAAATTTACAGCTGTTATATTAATTTTGGCAATGAAAATAAATGGTCAGCTTACATTTTTTGTTTTTGCTCCTCTACAATGGTTGGTAGAGGTTTTTAAACATTTATTTGAGGTTATCTGTCAAATTGCAAACACGTTTTTATTAATGAATGTGATGATGTTGATTTTGTATTCACCAAGCATGTTTGGAACTATTTTTCGTCCTTTTTCTATCAGTCAAGCACCTAAGTTGTATGTATTTTCCATTAAACTGTAAAATATCAACTAAACAAGTTAGAGTTGTGTTGTGTGTTTCTTCTTTGAAACAGTGTTAGGTATGGTGGCTTTGAAAGTCCTCTGACAGAGAACTAGTCAAGATTTTCTGAACATAATATTAATCCCTAGTTTCACTTTAACTTAAAAAAACATATACTGAGTTTATAGCTGAACTAGTGGTTTTGTTTACAGCTTACTTCATGATAAGAGCACAATAAATAGTTAATTTGTTGGAAAGATTAATGTTTCTGTCCACCATGGAAAGGTGTATTTCACGGAAACTGCTTCTAAGGTTATGGAATTCCTTTTTTCAAATTTTTTAAAACTAAAATGAAAGCCCTTCTGAAGGTACATATTGTTTGTAACAGTAAAAGGAAATGTGCAAGCACAAAGCAGCCACATGCAACTGCACTAGGATCAAACCAGCTCACCTTGATCTCAACAGCACACCTGCAAAGCTAATTCAGTTAGACAGTCATTATATTCATACAAACAGCAGCAAAACGTTTTTTTAAAGTTCCTTTTTTTGTTTACCATGGCAACACAAAGAGATCACAAAGACCAGGCCTTTTCCTTCCTGATGGGACCGTGGTGGTTAATTTAGTCTTTTATATTATTACTATCAGAATTATTTCTTAGCAACACAGTGGGAAATGTTAGTGAATTTTCATCTCAGATCTTAGAATTCATGTTATTTTATTCATCTAGTCCTCCGTCTGTCCTATCTTTCATCAATAGGAAACCCTGGGATACTTCACAATTTACCAATAAATCTGCCAACAAATCACAGCTAATAAGATGACATGGTAACTTACTTAGCCTATACTAAATGTGTCCCTCATTTGTTTTACAGCTCTAAGGAATAAAAAAACTCTTTGAAATAATACTGTGCGCTGGAACAATGAGTAGCATGCTTTTAGATAATCTCAGTTTACCCAGTGGGAGTGTTGCTGCCATGATTGTTACAACCCCTGAATTTTCTGCCTAGTTTGTTTGAATAACAACAAAGAGCAGAAATCGTGTCATATACACTAATAAATTGAAATCTCTACAGATAAAGCAGTAGAATGATTGTCATGATTTTGTGCAGTTGCAGTAAATACCATTACATGGACTTTCTGAATTTACTTGTGCTCATGGAATTTGTTTAGATAAAGTCAATTAATGGAGCATAGCTTCCTTGCAGATAATTTATTTTAAATTTCTCTTTGTTCTTCTTCTTTTCTTCAATCCCAAAGACTGTCGCTATGCCAGGAGTTGATCACTATGAATTTGCTGTCATGCAGCTTTTGAGTAATTAAATGACAGCGTTAAGTAACTGTCTCTGACCGTGATGAATTATACTGCCCTCCAAGGTCCCTGCATGTGCTCACCGACCTCAGAGCCAAGCTCACGTGGCAAGTGTGCATGGAGGAGATTTCACTGAAGCATATCAAAGCAATTAAGTAGCAAGGCAGGTGAGTAAAGAAGCATAAATAGTAGGGAATGATATGTTTTTATGAGTAAATGCACATGTATATGTGTTTGTGAGCTCCCCTTCAAGGTGGTATTGACATCAACCATCAATCCATCAATTCTTATTATGTAACTTTTTAAGTCACAAGTGAGTGGTTTCACAGTGTTACACACCTGCAGGTCATAAAAAAAGATTTCTTAGCATTATTCACTAAAGAATGTTAGCTCATTTTTTAAATAAAAAACTTTATATATCCCCTAATTTTTTTCTGATGAAGTTTAATGTGATATTTTTAATGGCAGTTGATCCAGTTTGCAACGGAAAACATCACAAACCAAATTATCTGAGACTTTGTCAAAACATCCTTATTTATCCAGACTGTGACAAACAGAAAAGACAAAAGCTGGTATTGACTAAAGATCAAGGTTGAAAATATTTGTAATGCCAAAAGCACTTTTTCCTCCAGCACGCTGACAGTTAAGATTCCCCTAACAGATGCCATCCATCAGAGTGATGTGTGTGTTTGAATGCAGGCTTGTGAGTCCTGCTGAAAGAGTGCGTGGGCACACATCCTAATCTTAGTGAGGCTAATCAAGAAGAAGCTTAAGCTTTGAAATGATAGAACAAGGAGATGGATTATAACTGAGACATGCCCTCTTTAAGTTACCTTTACAAATGTCCCTGCATCACCAGTTAGGGAGGGATGGTCTTGACAATTTCCAGCTTATTTGTTGTATTATTGTATCTTTGCTTGTGCACAAAGCTTCAAAAGATTCAGGCAAATATGTAACCTAAAAGAAACATGATAAGTTAAGACAGGAAACATGTAGGTTATATGCCAAGATCAGTTACAAAAATGGCAACTCCATAACAATGATAACTGCTGTGCCACTTGCTCGGCTTGTTATATTTTCCTCACAAGCTTTAGGTGATGCTGTTGCCAAGGGAAGGAGCTGTTATAAGGAAGTGAGACGTGTGAAACTGCTGAGAGCGACAGGAAGAGGAAGAAGTTGGAGGAAGTGCCAGACTGTGGCCTGAAGGAGCACAGTGTGCTTGACACAAACTCTGCCAGGAAAGAGACAAAAAATCTACCTGACATATTTGGAATCTGAGATACGTAAATGTAGAGAGGTGTGAAATGTTATCATCTGAGCCAGACGAGAGTTACTGAAAAACACTGTACATAAACAAAGAGTACCCCATAAACCCCCCCAAGTAAAACTGGTGTCACAATTGTTCTGATGTGAAATCGCGGCTGAATGATTTGCGTGCAGATGTCAGGGGCTGAATGAGAGAGACAGCCTGTTGGACTTTTACAACTGCACTATGGCAAGCCGTTTTAACATAAATTCGGTTTCGTCTGACTATCCGTAATTACATTCCAGATATCTAAAATTGCATTTTGACTAGACAAAACTACATTTTGACTATCCGGAATGGTAATTTAAGATATCTTCAATTACATTTTGACTAGTCAAAATTCCTTTCAAGATATCTCAAGTGACGTCACCGGATTCGTCATTGGAAGGGTCACACATCCGTAATTATAATTTAAGATATCTCGAACGTAATTTTGACTAGTCAAAATTACAATTCAACATATCTTAAATTAAGTTTTGTCTATTCATGACTTGCTTTTAAGATATCTATAATTTAATTTTCACTAATCAAAACTACATTTCTCCTATCCAAAAATACATTTAAGATATCTTGAATTATGGTGTCATTTGAGATATCTTTAATTAGAATTATGACTAGTCAAAACTAAAATTGAGATATCTTGAATTTACTTTATGACTAGTCGTAATTTAATTGTAGATATCTGAAATGTGTATTTCAGATAGTCAGTAATTCATTGTAGATATCTTGAATTGAAGTCTCCATACAACTCAATGGTAAATCTGACGTCATTTCGACTAGTCAGAATGTAATTAGAGATATCTCAAATAGGTATTTTGACTAGTCAAAATATAATTAGAGATATCTTAAATCGCTAAAGCGTCTAGTCATAATACAATTTGAGATATCTGGAATGTAAGGGCGGCAAAACTGAATTTATGTTAAAACGGCTTGCCATACTGCACAATCTGAGCTGGCCTACTAATTGTAAAGTCTGTATTTTTTGTAAAGTTCTATGCTGTCTATTAACAAACCTGTTTTATCTGATTCGAAGATGATAATGTTATGATAGTGTGATTATCTTAAATTACCATTCCGGATAGTCAAAATGTAGTTTTGTCTAGTCAAAATGCAATTTTAGATATCTGGAATGTAATTACGGATAGTCAGACAAAACCGAATTTATGTTAAAACGGCTTGCCATACTTTGTGTGTCTATAGGTGTAGCGCTGCGATGTACCCTGCCTCTCGCCCATGGAATACTTGGATAGATTCCAGTCCCCCTGCGACCCCTTTTGGGAATAAGTGGTTCAGATAATGGATGGATGTATAGAAATGTCTCAGTAACAGCAAAATTGACATTGAAAGCAGGTTATTATGATTCAATCTTTAAATATTTTCCTCTGAAATACAGATTAAATAGAATTATTTAGTTGCACAAGTTAAAAAATGGTTTTATCATCAGATTTTTACCACAGAGCCAGGAGCCCCAATGCAGCAGATATTATTTTATAGCTGAGTCAAACTCAGCACATCTGAAGCATTGGAACGGAACCACAAGGGGATAAAAGATGGTTCAAATAATCAATGCTCAAATAAAACCACAGGTAAAATAGTCATATCAAGAAAAACCATGTAAGAAAACAGAGAAGGAAAATGTTGCCACTCTACGGGCAACAGATACAATTTACAGTTAAGCACTGAGTGCTCTGTGTAACATAAAACTTACTAGATAATTTATATAGATTAAACAAATATAGATCCCTTCTGTTATGGTTTACTTTGCGTACATCTTATGTAATGCCCTGAACACTGCCACAGACTTTGATGGATGTCTGTGTGTGTCACTGTTTCAGCTCAGATCCTGGAGCAGATCGTGGATGCAGGCATTGACCCAATGTACCATCACACTGCTCCACTCACACCTGTTAAACACTTGTTTCTGATTACATGTTGCTTACATGGAACCCCTTCACAACATCAAGAATCCACTCACATCCTTTATCATCTCCACTGTAACTGCTGTGACGCAGTTTGCGCATTTTTATTTAGAGAATAACGACCATGTCACAATCTTGTGCACAGAGTCAGATCAGCATTGCAGATTACAGATTGGTGCATTTGAGATCCCTGATAGAGAGGGAGAGAAAGAGAAAGAGAGGGAGAGAGCACGCTCTTACACATGTGCGCGACTGAGATTCACTGAGGTACTTCCATCTGCTGAAAGCTTGTACGAAACCTATCTTTGCACAGTCAAGGACATCGGAAGGTGGGTTTTATAGCCCATCAGTTCTGCTGATCCAGGTTATTGAGCATTAGGTGAAGCATGTCATCGGACATGGATGAAAAGCTCACGTGAACGGGCAGATGTCCTTTTCATCCTGTTTTGTAACGACGGTGAAATGAAAAAGGCCATGCAC